AATGAAGGCACTACCGCGCGAATTCAACAGGTACGTCACACCTAGTATGTTCACCGGTGATATTTCGAGAACTTATGAAACCCTAAAGTGGTCTATTCTTAAACGCGGAAATCTGACCGATCGAAAAAGGTTAGATCAACTCCTCGATAGCATCGATGTACAATATGGCTCGTCAACGGATGTGTTGTTACAAATGAGAGAGGTCATTATTGACCAATTGGTCAACGGACATTCGACGACGGACTGTTTATGCAATTTCTATTATCTGAGATTCCTCAACAGCTGCATGCAGTGCTTGTCTCACTTCAAAAGGATGTTGTAAACGAGATGGCTGTATCTACCGACTGGATTCTTGAGATCACCAGAACTTCAAACGCCGAGGTTTTATCAGTCAAAGAAAAACCCCAAACGACACGAACTGATGTTATGAAACCCTGTCATACTCTGACACGTTACCTTCGTATTTTTCATAACCGTAGACTATCACAAACTCCTCGGAGTTCTTCATGAAGACTATCTGTCTCATGATCGCGAGAGACAGATGATCCCGATTTGTTCTAATATCATAATCAGTATAGATAACCTTCTCGGAATCGTAGAAAGTCCTGCAATTTCCCTGTCACTGTTAAGCATATGATCGATACATACCATCAACCAATACTTGATAAGTACCCTGAGATATGCCAAACACTGCCGAAATCGTCATATGTAACCAGCAACTTTACGCATCAAATCGTGACTACAGGATTACCCGTAGTCTCAAAAGCTCTCCGACTAGCTGCTGAAAAGCTTAGGTTGGCCTAAAACCAATTCAGTCAAATGACAGATATAGGAATCATTCGTCCACCAAACAACCCATGGGTCCCTAAAAAGGACGTCGACGACTGGCGTCCAACTAGTGACTATCGGTGAGTGAATGCGAAAGCCATTCTACATCATTACCTGTTGACTAAAATTCACTATTCGACAGCTACCTTGAAAGGTACAACTGTTTCTTTCGAAAAGCGTATAACCAAATTCTTACTGCTGACTACATTACTGATACTGTTATCATCACCCCTTCCTGCCTGTACGAATTTTTGCACATGCCTTTCGGTTTAAGATATGCTACACAAACCCTAAAACTGAGTATTAAATAGATGGGACCACTCGTATTACTTGGTATTTGCAATGTAGTGAATGCTGGCATTGAATATATTGCAGCTCAACTCGTTTACGGAACGACCCTCCGACTTCCGGGAAAATTCGTAGATCCTTCATCCTTAATGGATATTTAACTTTGTATGTCCAATATGCATGTTAGCCCACTTGGTCGCGTTGATAGGCATCAGCCAATTAATTAGAACATCTACGTTCTCTGCTCTGTCCTGATTTTCCTCCATCATTTGAGACCCCGTAATTATGTTGAGAATCCAATACCGCCTCCTTTTCCGTAATGTATGTGCAAGGACAGTTTCCTCGTCTGCTTGATTAGAGATTGGGCCAACTGCTTTTAATATTTTCTCTGGGTCGCCTGGATTATGATTATACACTTTCGTACGGATTTGTAGTGTTCCATCGTATTCTCTGTGCCAAGGCTGATGGCGACTTTCCAATATTTCCTTTATCTTGGCAAATGTCAAATATTGCGGTCTATCCAGAGATGGCTGTGCTTCTTTGGGACTGCCCATGGTATAAATGATTGAGTTACTTGATTGTATAACTGCCAGAAATAAGTCCATGCCCCTTCTACTGATGCCCCTGAGTCAATTATCCAGTTTTCAGCCGAGGTTTCAGAGTTTATCGTCTCCATGTCTGCCTTCCCTATGTTAGGACTGGCTAGCACAAATGTTTGACAGGCAATGATCTTTAATAAGATGACTGCATGACCACTTCTCCTTAAAGGTTACAGGAAAGGTTTTCCTCACCGGCGTTCATCTATTTCTACCTCTGCCTATCGTCTCTTAATACGATCAACCAGGCTAAGATTCTCACGAATATACATTCCTGGTTTAGTCAGTTTGCGTGAATTTTCCAGTATTAGGTTTCTTTCTTCAGCTGAAAAAAGGTAAACTTTAAGATACGGCTTTTTGAGTGCTTTCAGAATCCACCTTTCGTCCTATTCTATAAAGCCTACGAATGCTAACTCCTACTGTTTCTTGAAGTAGCTTGTTTGTTAAGGACTTATTGTGGCCTAGATCGTGTTCAAATTTAACCTTTGGTTCCTTTTCGGAAGACTCCTAACTTAAGACAAATGTCTTACCTCTTAGCGAGATCCGTTTTGACAAACTGTGAAGTTCTGTTTCCTGAATTCTCATTCCTGCAGTCCTATTCGACGTAGGACGTACATGTCTCACTCTGTTTCCTTAATTTTCTAGCCAATCATTGACCTTATTTTGTCGCTTGATCAAATAATCTCCATCGCTTTGCTCCTCCACAGTCTGTTTTGTGTTGATATGGGGATTGGAAACTTAAGCCGTCGACCCGTATCTCAGAACCCTCTGTAATTTTTTTCTCTTTTAGCGTGCTTTTTCTTGTTTATAACCATACCTACTTCTGTGTGTTTGTTATCCACTGCGTTATGAGGGTCCACCTCAATGGTCTCATTTAAATTTGAATCTGGACTCATGATAACGCTCCCTGCTTTCTCGAAAACTGACAGCTACTCATCTGCTGCTATATGTTTGTCTGAGGGTATCTTCCTGGCTAAATTCAGCAGCTCAAAAGTCAGCAGAGGCTTTGTAGAGCAGCATGCTTTGCACAGCCAACGTGATAGTGGCTTGCAACACCTTTTATGTGCAGCCGGTATGAGTCCGGTGCACACGTGATACCGATTGTTGCAGTTGTCATATTACATTCCATTCTCGGCCGAAAGAAGCATGTGGGTTTGTCACAACGACGTTTTTGCGCCATTAAAATTCTCAACACAAAAAGCAAAACAAAAATACTGATCCCTTGAATAAGTGTTTTTTAGGCTCTAAAGTGATAGACACTTAACACAAAGGGTTGGGACTTCTATGTTGCAGTAACTGAAAAATCCGGCCTAAATAAACACAAAAGAAGCTTTTACACCCTAGAATACAATCAAAACTAAAAGATTTGCTCCTTGAGGAAAAATACCTCTGCCTTTTTTATTTTGCTCTCTTGTATGCGTCGTTGACCCATCATACGAATGTAAAAACGCTCAGAAATGCTAGGCATTACTATTTTTTACCGTCGAATAAAAAGTGGGTAACTTCACACCCGTTAACTACATAACTGCTTAGCATTGTAGTTTTGAGTGACCTGCAATCCAAGTGCTTCATGTCTAAGAATCTGCATTAAGAGTTTTTCACTTTGTTTCGTAGTAGCTTATAGTGTTATTACTCACCTGACTTTACTTGGTCATTGCATAAAATCTGCGGTATGCAGTTTCCATTTCCTTAAGGTGTGGGAACCGTCGTCCAAAAAGTCAGTATCAAAATGCACACTGAGTTTGTTTGACCTCAGTAGTGTCCTAAACACAGTAATTTCAATTTGATAGTTGCTACTTTTCCAGATGGTTTTGGCGTTCCAAAAAACGGAGCTGACTGAAATTTGTCTGTGTTGTTGCTCATATCGGTTTACACTAAAACTCACCAGTTACATACCCTATTTTCTATAATCCATCACTATTCCAACGTCAAATAGATTACAAACATGATGGAACCCGATTTAATTTCAGATGTAGTGGAGAATAGATCTTTTACCAATAGACTAAGCACAGTTATTTTAGCAGTTGGATTAGCTAACCCAACCTCCTTATTTTTGGGAAAATTCTATAGAAAACTTTTGAGAAGTGGCACAAAAACCCGAAAATTTACCCAGGTCTGAGGAAATCCCCAAAATGTTTGGGGGAGTTTCGGGTTTACCCCAATATTTCCACAGAATCGTATAACACTGGGGAAAACTACCATATTTCTTACGACTTTGGGGGGAACTCCGCAATTTACCCAAAGTTCCCCTAAGATAGTGAGTCCATGTTTATTAAATCTACTCTTTTATCACTGAAAACTTTCTTGGTTTGGAGAACACAATGTTCGTTAATATCATTCTAAGACCATTGCAATCAGTTTTAGGCCATTTAAACCAACCACTGTTAGAACCCGTAAGTATAGCGTTCTCATTGTGCTATCGAACTAAGAGAGGACGAAAAGCGAATGTCCGGCGCTTTAACCGGATTCAAAACCAATGGTGCACATGGGCTCCAGTATCCTGCGGGAACAAATGGCGTATGAACCAATTGCTGGTCACCGGCTTCCATGGGACTGCATCTCCTTACGATGCTCCACTGCCTTATGGATCAGACCATTAGGTCAAAGGCTCGGGTTGTGGCCCCCTAAGAAAACCACCTGCTTCGGTCTTGGCACCCGGGCAGTATCATAGCGCTCACACATATCGAATGAGATTTGTGTGGCGCACATGTATTTGGTGCCTCTTTGTACCATTATCTATGTGTTGAAATAAGAAAAAATCGAACTAAAACAATTTATTCTACCTTCTGAATAAATAATGTTAGGCACTCGAAATATGCATGGATCTCTTAAATTGTCCATATTCTTGTCTAGTCAGACCGATGAAATATCGGTGTCAGTCTCACCCACGTATAGCCAACCCATTTGGTAATCAAATATTCACCGCCTAACATTCCTGTTCACGCTCCTAAAATCCTTAGTTTATATGTTGGTGGTATCGTTTATATTCGATAAATATCAGGTAGTACCGAAGCCTACTTAGTTTATTTATTTAGCCGAAATATTGTAAAACACTGGTCTTGGTAATTTCTATATACATCGCTGATGTTGAAACCAACCAGGAAAAGTGGTTGATTTACGCTTGGCTTTGTGAAATTACAGGTAATTATTATGAATTAAAATCTGTAATTACACTAGTGATTAGTGTAGTACGGAGTTTTCAACTCCATACATCGTAAATCGTCCAGATTCAGAGTCAGCAGCAGTCAAATAGTTAAAAAGTTAGACATTCAAACTGGTCTGTATGACTGTTAGATTTTTCGTCCACTTGTGTCATGATCCTGTAAACTGGTCTGGTTCCATATTTTGAAAGATATTCTACTTTGTTAGTTATTTATGCTTCTATTCAATAACGATTCATTCGTACGCATGCGTCAATAACTTGTTTTCTCTGAGCAACCGTAACTTACGAGCGCCACATCAGTTTAGACTAGACTGTGTAGCGTTGTACGTTTCAAACAAAACTACTATACCTTCTCCCCTCTTTACCAATACATGACAGCACCCACATCTTAGAGCCTATATTGTATCAAGTTACATTTATTTTAATCTTTTCTTGACAGTCACGACCGTTGCTGCTACCTTGACGTGATGGTTAGGTTTGCCTACCATGCCAATCGAGCTATACTGCATGGAACAATCGTCCCTCAGGGTCCTACCATGCCAGACTTGTTGAACGAAGAGCGTTAGAATAAAAGCAGCAAACCCAAGGTCCGAGGGCGAAGTCGTACTGCTGACTGTACAGAGGTGTGACGGAAGTAAAGTGTTTCCTTTAAACAACCAGCATAACAGAGATGCTACCTTCCCACAAGGGAAGGTGGGGTTAGAAAAGGTCAACCGTAAATATACATGCCTCGCCTTATCCCACGGATATCCGTCTCCAGCGGTAAGGCCTCAACAAGTACGGAGCTAACATGAAAATTACTCACAAAAAAGTCGTATGTGACCGACTTCAAACAGTTGTCCCTTGGGCACTGCGGTCACACTCTCAAGTCACCAAGACCATCCCTAACCCAATTTTCTTCTCAGGTAACTCTGGAAAACCCTTCCACATTGTAGGCAACCAGGAAGTGATAACCACCCTCATACCTCTAACAGCAGTCGAGATCAGTGTATTCATAATCATTCTCCCTCTTCAACTCCTATAATTCCTCCTACGTCGACTTCTAACTATAAACGTCCTCCTCAAGTGTCACCATAGTCAACGGTTCTAGTGCGCGAACCACTCTCAGGTCTACTGAAACTTCGCTCCAAACTACATGTTGGAGCCATCAATGTACTCGCCCTATGTCAAATCGACCAGCTGGACACCTTTACTAAAACGCTAGAATTTTGTACCACTGGTGTATGCTGTCTCCGAAGCACGCATATAGGATCCCAGTGTGGTCATCCACTTGACCTCACCTCGCCAAAATGGAAAGCCGATGAGACACACCCTCCGTGTATCTGGCGACCCGATAGCTAGTTCTCGTGGACTGACGTGTAGGCATAGTACTAAGTATGAGGTCAGAACAACCACTTTTAAGATGGATCCTTGGTAACATTCGCCTATGTGCTGTTCGTCTAAACGGCTCCGTAAGAACTCGAAAGGATGGGGACCTTTTCGTCATTTCTGCCTACGCCCCTACTGACTTCAGCATAAGGAGATATCTAACATGGCGACCCCCTGCACCAAACCAACGATGGACTCAAATAGACCATATTGCCATCAGTCATCGTTGGATAGGCTCAATATAAAACTTTCGCTCGTTCTGGAACACCTGTTTGGACTCAGATCATGCTCTAATACGAGTACGCATTTGCTTGCACCTCGCTGGATGCAGAAAAACCACATTAAGAAGACCCATCAGAGTTGAACTCAGTGACGAACAAGCCAAAAGCAGATTCCAGGAACAACTTAAGTCACACTTAGTCAATTTTGAAAACAAGACTGATCCAGATGTTGTATGGAAAGATACACGAACAGCTTTGGAAACTGCAGTGACATCTACTAGTGATTTGAACCAATGGGTTACGAAAAACTAGTGGGTTTCTGCGACATCTATTGCACTGGTAGATTTTTGTAAACTTATCCCATCAGGCTCTAAACACGATGAAGAGCGAAAACAAGTCAGATCGAGGTTAACTAAACGTCTACGGAACGATCGTGAGCAGTGGTGGGCAAAGAAAGCAAAAGAGATGGAAAAGGCAGTGGCTGTAGGTTTCACAAGACAAATTTTCCAGGCTTATGAAATAAACCGGAATTAAGAAGTCAAATGTAAGTGATACGATCTCGGAAAAAGACGGCACTTCCATCTATCCTCATCCCAGACGTTCAGAACGATGGGTGGAACACTCTAAGGAGCAGTTCAGCAAGCCTTCACCTACTCTACAACTACCCACCATTCCCAAACAGTCTGAATGGAACATTGAAGTAGGCCCCCAAACTCTAGTTGAAGTTCAAAAAGCTATAGCTAATCTGAAATGACGAGGAGCAGGTGGTCCAGATGTCGGTCAGTCAGCTAGCTATAACGTAGGACTGGGCACATATATGCATCGGTCCAAGTTGCCAAACCTCATTAGCGATTAGGTTGACTAATATATCAGCTGAAACCTGGGACTGGACGTAATCCCATCTGACTGGTCGCAATCACTGGTCTTCTCAATATGTAAGAAAGGATCGAAATCATCCTATGACAAACCATAGAGGGATTAGCTTGACTAATATAGTGTCTAAAATACTAGTCTCATTAATTATCGGACACCTAAAAAGGACTCGTGAACTGAAAACACGATAAAATCAAGCTGGCTTTAGACCTGATCGTGGCTACATCAACCACATATTCACTATTCTTCAGGTTTTAGAACACCTGTGTGCTTATTGACGTCCGACAATGATATTTTTTCCTTACTTAAAGACAGCATTTTACTATATAGACCGAGAGGTTCTGTGACAGTCTGTCTCTGAAAGGCGTACCTCAGAGGTACATAAACTTTGTGAAGGTTCTTTACTCGAACGCTACCAGTCGATTCACAGCTTATGGCGAACTGTCATCTGATTTTGTAACCTTAAGTGATGTCTAACAAGGCTATCTTCATTATTGTTCAACTTCATCATAGACCAACTGCTGCAAATAACGTTCTTGTCGTCTGAATTTTCAGAAATTGATCTCCTACCAAAAGGTTCACTTATCAACTTAGAATACACATATGACATAGTCCTGCTTGGTGAAGACGCCGATGAAATGCAGTCTTATGGTAGCACTGAGCAACAATGCCAGGATGTTTGGGATGCGTTTCTCCCCCTCTAAATGCAAGTTATTGCTTCAGGACTAGCGTGCATCAACACCAGAACTAAGGATATGGAGTGAAGTAGTCGAACGCGTTGACAACTTTATTTATCTTGGAAGTCTGATCAGCCGTAGTGGGTTGGTGTCTGACGAAATCTCTGCACGGATTGAGAAAACTCGTTTGACTTTTGCCAACTTACGTCACCTATGGATTAGGCGAGATATCCGTCTATCAATAAAAGGACGAGTATGTTGCGCGACAGTTCGTCCTGTTCTACTTTGCGACTGCGAAACGTAGCCATTAAGAGAGGATACTCGTAAGTTACTAGTATTTGATCACAAATGTCTTAGAAATATTGCTCTCATCTGCTGGAATCAGGTAAGTAATAGTGAGGTTAGACACAGAGTACAAGGGAATGATGGTCAATCAGTCGATGAAGATTTACTTCATCAACTGAGATGATTGGGCCACGTGTTGCGTATGTTCAATCACTAATTACAACGACGCGCAATGCTGAGTGATGTTGGAGAGGGTTGGAAGTAAGTTAGGAGCGGCCAAAAAAACGTGACATCAGTTCTTGAAGTCACTAACTTCTAGTCTGAGCCATGTTGGTAGATGCAGACTACTTGGTTGACGTCTGCGTGACTATCACTGATTATTATTTATTTGAACACATAAATACTGGTACAAGGGGCACCAGATACATATGCTCCACACAAATCTCATTTGATTTGTGTGAGGGCTGTGATACTGCCCGGGTGCCAAAACCGAAGCAAGGGGTTTCCTTAGGGGGCCACAATCAGAGCCTTCGACCTGAATGTCTGGTCCACAAGGCAGTGAATCATCGTAAGGAGATACAGTCCCATGGTAGCCTGTGACCAACAATTGGTTCATACGCCATTTGTTCCTTCAGAGTACCGGAGCCCATGTGCACCATTGGTTCGGAATCAGGGTTTTCCAATTCCTCTAGGTGGGTTCTCCGTGTCCACCAACCCGGTTAGAGCGCCGGGCATTCGCCTTTCATCCTCTCAATTCCGTAAACAACGCCCTCGCCACGAGAAGGCAGTGAGTAGGACTTCCCTGGCAGATACTATATACGCGTGGCCATGTGAGAACATTTCGAGAGGGAGAGCGAACTCTCCTCACTCTCGGCTGTACCAGGGCATTCAGAGGCGCGTGACTATCGTAACCAATAGTTGGAGACTGGGTGACAGGGGTCAGAATCGATCACAATGGCGTAAGTGTACACGCTCTTTGTCTTTCCTTAAACCATGAGATTAAAATTGCTTTATATCCTTCTACCAACTAATTCTTTCTTCCTGTACTATATTCTCTTACGAAATGTTATTTTATTTTTACTACCATTGAAGTAACGTCTATCAATTTGGTGTTCACCTTGTGCTAATGAGGTGTGGCAATTTGGATCATTGCATATATGTGCCTGGTCCTACATTGTAGCTGGCTGTCTGACTTCCTTAATAGTTTGTTAGTCGTTTTATTGGTTTTCCAACTTCAACGTTGTGTTGCCATAGGATTTCCAGTAAAGCCCCACTGTGTTTACCCAGGTATAGTTATCCTTAATTATGAGTATTGATTCATAAGACTTAATTACATTCGGTGATTTAATTGTGATTATTATAAATAACATTCGAGCATAACTGCTGTTGTCATGCTGAGATTGCACTTCATGAAATTTGTCAGGCGATTCACCTAAGTTGGGAATTTGTATCCATTGTTTGTGTAAATCCTTAAATATGGGGGAGTTTTCTAATTCTTTCACGTTACATCAACAGAATACGGGCAAAATAGTTGAGCTTTTGTTATGGCTACATATCTAAGGTCATAAGAGTATTGTGGAGTATTATGGATTATGTAGAAGCTTTTATTGATGAAATTAAGCTTTTATATATACCTTAGTAAAATCAATACTAGATATTGATCATCAAGTTGTCAGGGACTGATTAGTTGGACAGATGGAGTTAAATTAAGGGAGCCTGGATTACAGAATATATGAGGTATTTTTATTACGTTGTCTGTTCTTATATCTGTTTCGACGTAATCACATTTATTCGATAAAGTTACAACTTTCTTTAGCACTTCGGACTATCACTTACACACCTATGTTAAAAATGCTTTTTATTCAAAATAGTTTTCACTGATCCTGAGGACTCACATGAAGTTCTAACCTCTAAAAATACTCAAAGAAACGAATTCCTTCAAATATTGAGCGCTGTTTAGAATTGGCTGAGTCGTAAACAACTCAAGAGTAAAGTTTCATCGATAACCACTTGGTTTTGCTATTTGAAAATCAATCTGGGATCAATGAAAGATTGTCAACTGATTTTGCATGATGTTCCCGAAAACACAGAGTTAGGGATTGATCTGAAGTTTTGGAGGGTTGGCAAACACTTTAAAGGCATCAAAGATATACCTCTAGGAGTACACTTTGTCTATTATAGGTAAGTTGGGACAATGAGCAAATTGTCTTTTTACGCGAAAGTGGTCTTTTGATTTCTGCTACAGATTTCGTCTTGTGATCGGTTCAAAGATTTCCTCCTCTAAAACATCTGAGATTTAAGTAAAAAGTGCAGAAATGGAGTTATCCTAATGAAATATTTTTTAGTCGAACTCGATACTAAAAACAATTAGGTCAGGGAAATCCTCGGGTATGATAAAACTTATATCATCTGAATATTTCCCTGAAGTTGAACATTCGTAGAGCGATAAGAGATTTTTCACTGTTTTACTCAGTAAAGTTAAGTGGACCATATTGTTGATTTTGTACAGCGAACCGTCGGGTATTATTTGTTATAATTGGTAATTATCTAACCTGTGATAATCAGCAAAACCATAAAATTAAACCCGCCTGTAGATCATCATATAAAAAAATTGTTTCTCTCTTTTAAGGAGAGATATCCGGTACTCTGATTTTCCATCACTTTGCTCTTAGAGGTTATATAATATTCCTCACCCTTACTCGATGAGTATATTTACAAGCTTGTAATTAGTTCGTAATTCATATGAAGATTTTACCTCAAACATCTATTTTGTCACTATAACTGCAGAGTATCCAACCTCAGTTAAATGGGACGTTTGTTAGTGAGCATTTCTTTCTTAACACTTGTCTTGTAACATCTAAGCGTTAATAAATTCGTATTCATAAAATATATGTTTGTGGATTTTGTCAAAATGGGCGTGATATAAATTATCCTCTTATCAGTTGAATGGTTAGTGAAAGAAAATGCTATTCTAGGTTGAGACAGCTGAAGTAGACCATAAAGTGTAGCCTTTTCTGAGACTGGCTAGTAGAGTTATTCACTTAAATTTCAATTAACTTGAAAATTTCTGGAGTAATATACATGACTTCTATTGTTCTACTTGTCTCTTTTTTAAACAGTGCCGTAAATTCAGACTGTATGTCAGGTCAACGTGTTGGATTCGTAGCAAATTTCACTCAACCTGGTTTCATTGTTAAGAAGTGGCAAAAAGAAAAAGAGGGTAATTCGTTATATATTGCTTAAAAGACCAATAACTTTTTCGTCCTCTTGTCCAGATTTCATAGATATTAAATTGACTGATAACGAAGTAGAACGTATTATTTCGAATTTCGATGAAATTTCTATGTATCTGGGGCAGTATCCTGCGGAGTCGTAAGTCATTTACACTAGGGTTGACTTAAACAATTACCGTTTAAAGATCAGAACTCTCATTATCGTGATATTTTCTTCTGTCGAATTGTCAAGTTACTTATCTTCTAGAGCAATTAGCTTCCATGGTAGCTTATTTAGATGTTTATTGCTCTTTAAAAGGGTTATAATATCCTAACGGATACGCTTGAAACATTTGCTTGATAGGTCATACAAATGAGACAAAAAGGATTCTCGAGATTTAAGCTCGTTATACGTTCTGTCGACGACTAACTCATCTTTTGAACGATCGCTTAACTTTCCTTTAACATTTCTTTCTATTGCCTCAATAATATATTTCGTGTATCATGTAACACTGAGATGTTCTTATGAATTGATTTATTTAATCCATTTTTGTTTTTATTTCCTTTTTTATCATATGGAATTTGAATTTCGAAGTGAAACAGTAATTTTTTATGTGACGGTAATTTGTGTTCTAAAGGTAATAATGATATCTTTATTATAATTACGTACTAGTTGGATTTTCAGTTTCAAATAATATGACTCCAGTGTCATATTTCCTGTTATCTTAAAAACTTTGTCCCGAGAGTTACTCAGAGAGGAGGATATTTTTTGGTTTCAGCGTTGTTTACCAATAAAAATTCTGCTCATAGATAAGCGAAAACCTGTTAGATATTGAAAAGCGCTGTGGTGGTGATTAGTCCTATCAAGTCCAGTGTATTTAAAACTGTATTGATATTAATATTTATTGAATTACTGATTAATATCGTGTTACAGTGCAAGTGAATGGATTAATGTGTACATACTTTATTATGTTTTTTCAACTATGTTTAATATTCACCAGATTTGTCTCACAAACTGAGATTCTCAGTTTTATCTAGTTTCTAATGTTTAGTTATTTTATTTTAGTATATCGTTTACATCCCCAACTCTTTCTTGTAAATCTAGACACAGAGATTGGATTTCGTTGTCTAATTTTATAACAACATGTACATTAACTCGTCTTGTTCCCTACTGTGGTCGTCTATATTCCTGTCCACACTTCTTATCTGAACCCTCTAATACCCAAGAACGCCTGGCTCTTAAAAATTCCTATGCGACTAGCTGTTCAAATAAAAATTCAGAAGACCTCTTACCGAATTTATCTATTATTCCTGGTACAGAGGTAATCATTATTTTGTTTGCTTTTCACTCATACAAAGTTAAGGTTTCTATAATAATAATAATCTTAATATTTGAGTAATATTTGGCTGATATTTTCAAGCTTCATTCGGTCTTAGTAGTGTAAACTTCAAGCAAATTCCTTAGACGATATCTTGTGGAAATGTGACTCATTCGTCTTTGTATACGACTTGAAATTATTGAATTCTTGGTTTATCAAGATCTAAACACTAAGTAGTAGTTTGTGTCATCACCTAGTCCATGGGTATGGATTTGTTTAGTAAGCCTGTTCTCTTTATCTTGTGACCTGTATAAATCTTTAGTAATGGCTTAACGTCCTTTTTTTTAGTAGTAAAAAACCGTATTGTTACCTCAATCTAGTACTGATTGCCCTTGTAATGAGTTCACTGTTTTTATGAACAAGGCAAACACCTGGAACAAATGTTTATTGCTATACTGCCTAGGGTGTTAGGATGAGTGCTGTAGCCAATATAACGTAACTGGGTTGTTACAAAAGTCAAGTCCTACCACCACACCAGAGTAGCGTCTATGATCAGAAAGTTTGATGTTATGCAGTCTGAATTATTTTATGTTTTACTTGTAAAACAATTAACACAAAATATTTCTCGATAGATTTGCTGAATTTCCATATCTCATTCACCTCAGGTACGTTTTACTTCAATTCCAACAAAACCACTTTATCCACCTCTTTCATCTCCATCGGAAATCACTGCCCATTGTATGGATCAAACATATACTCTTTGTACTACTATGGACGTAATCTTCTCGAGCATCAATTCAGAAAAGGCCAGTGGCTTAAGTAAGGATCTGGAATCTGCTCGCGAGCTGCTCGGTGAATTTCAATTTGCTTTTCTCAATTTATTATTAAGTACGTATTTTTATTTTATATATATTGGCTGATGTTGAAATGATAGTTTGTGATCTTATAATTCAAATTTTACATCTTATTAGCTATAGTAATATATTGGATGTCATAGTAAACGCTCCGAAATGTGCTTAAACCCAACTAGGTATCTAATCTAATTTTTATGAGATTAATTGTTACGGTGATTTTAACGATGGATGTATTTGCCCTGACCTTTCCATTTTAGATCATTCAATGGAAGGCTGGGAACAGTGGCGTCGTATATTCCAATTACTCGCTAATTGTGAGAAAGCGATTGTTAATTATCCTAATTTGTACATTGACTTCATTACAGTTATTTATCACCAGTTAACTAATGCAAATAGATCAGAGGTGTCAAGTAGCAATTCAGCTGTGGAGTTACTCGATATTTTCTTTTCGGAATCATCTAGCTCAAGTACACAGTGGAAATTAACCGAACCTGGCTTTTTACCAACTATGATTGGGCGTCTTTTGAAAAATATTTATTCTGTTTGTACTTCTGATATAACTAACAAAACATCTCCCAGTGAAACTAGTAATATTCTGAAAGATCTCTTTAAACGTGCAGATGGCTTTGCTCATAGCATAAAACATCGATTCAAATGGGATATGATCACTTCATATCAGTTATTACAAAGGTGTACTCCAAATATAACCGAAATTCCTATTGAAGAATTTGACTGGGATGGAGATGAAGCACCTGTCATTGTACAGCTGTAAACAAGTCTGAAATAAAAATTATTTCCAATTTTTTAATCAGACTTTTTGTCTGTGTTCACTGCTGCGTATTTAGTCTGTTATGATATTTTAAGACATATTATTTTTACTACCCTCGTTGCTCGCGTGTTTGCTTCACTTTAGAACCCTGTAGTTGAAATCAGCGCGTTTTTAATGATTCTTGAGTGCGAAGTGGGTATGCCGAATAGAGCTTTGTAATTTCAAAGCAAATAAAGCTACTTCAATTATTGCTATATAAGAGAGAGGTGTGACTAGTTAATATACTTCCAATTTTTGACTTACTGTCCGCTAAGATCCCATATTTAGTTCATCAATTTATTTATTTATTTGAACACATAAATATTTGTACAAGAGGGCACCAAATATATATGCGCCACACAAAACAATGAGAATTCGAAGAGAAAGAAAAGAAGGTAAGGAGCGTGAAAAAAGAACAATAACGAACAGATTAGTGTAAGGTAGTGTAATAATAATAATAATAATAATAATAATAATAATAATAATAATAATAATAATAATAATAATAATAATCGTAATAATGGGGGAAACGGAAAGGTACAATGAGAAGGAATCTTTCAGTTAAGGGAAAAACAACCATTTTCTATGAAGAAAGTAAAAGAAGTTTACAGCAGGATCGCCACTGGCTTCTATTCTGAGCCATATCTGATAACGTCTCTAGCCACTATGTTGCGCCATTTCTAGGACCCCAGCCAGGGAGTCGCAAAAGACCGACATAAGGCAGTCTTATACATCCTTCTTTCATATTACGACACCGTGTCGTAGACTGACCACCTCTCCGCTTTTCCCAACCAGTCCCAGAGTCGGCAAATAATGAACGGTGTGGAGTTCTCTGGGATGACATTCGTAGAACATGTCCAAGCCACCAAAGTCGGTGTTTCAAGATGGTGACACCAATTGAACTGTCGTCTCTGTGCCCGAACACACGATGCCGAACTTCTACATTACTAACATGGTGTTGCCACTGGATGTCAGCAATTCTTCGGAGACAGCGATGATCGAACACAGAGAGTCGTCTAACATCCTCAACTCGGAGAGGCCAGGTTTCACAAGCATAGAGCAAAACTGCTATCACCGACGCGCTGTAGATTCGACCTTTTACAGCCAGACTAACATTACGAAGGCGCCAAAGGTCGCCCAGATTGGCATAAGCCGCTCTGGCTTTCACTATACGTGCATTGATCTCATCACTCACACCCCCACCAGCACTTATGCAGCTACCCAGATACACGAACTTCTCGACTACTTCTATCTGCTCACCATCCAGGGTGAGTACAGGATTAGGATCCTGACAGTCTTGTAGAAGTACTTGGCACTTCGAAGGTGCAAAGCACATACCATACCTACGGACACTGATTGCCAACTGGTCAAGTGCGGATTGCATGACTTGGGCATCATCTCACAGTAAGACAATATCATCCGCATACTCGAAGTCGAGAAGTCTTTCTCCAGGCAACAGATCCACACCACCATTACTTACATCCATCAGAGCTGTTTCCAGAATGTCATCGATGGCAAAGTTGAAGAGGAATGTTGAGATTGGGCAAACCTTGCCTAACCCCACTGCTTGAATAGAACAATGGAGAAAGGTGGTTGTATGCCCTCACTCTGCCTGAGGTGTTTGTATATAGGGCTTTTAGGGTGTTAATAAACTTCTCAGGGACACCCTTCTTCAATAGGCAATCCTAGAGAACAATCCTGTCCAACGAATCGAAGGCAGCCCTGATGTCAAGAAACACTACGATTGTTGGCCTGTGATGTGTATGACGGTGTTCTAACATTTGGCGGAGGGTGAAGATATGATCAATACATCCTCGACCAGAACGAAACCCAGCTTGCTCCTCACGAGTCAATCTTTCTCGGGTTTTGAACAACCTACGAAGTATGACGGAAGCCAATAGTTTGGACGCAATCGGAAGCAGACTTATCCCCCGATAGTTGTTACAGGAACGACGTGAACCCTTTTTAAAGATTGGGACAACTATCGACTCATTCCATGACGTTCGTACACTCTCTAGTTCCCAGACCTTTGTAAACAACGTCGTCAATTCCTCAGCCAGAAAGTCACCACCATCTATAAAAAGAGCCGAAGGTAAGTCATCTGGACCCAGTGATTTGTAGCGCTTCAAGAGTTGGAGTTCCTTGCGGACTCCCGCATCATTTGGTAGATCAGTCATCACCGGTCATAGAGGGCAGAACAGTCCGACCGATGTTGCTGGAGCAGCAGGCTAGTTGAACTACCCTTCATATAATTCTGCCCATCGTCCAAGACGTCGATGGATGTTAGTGATTGGCATCCCGTCATCCTCGCTCACACCAGACTTCTTGCTGCCAGTGGCTCGGATGAGTTGGAAAAGCTTCCGGTAGTTACCAGATGCAGCTGCTGCTTCCAGCTCATTAGCACGCTTCGACCACCAGGCTTCTCGGTCCTTACGCAAGCTTTGCCCAATTTCCTTACGTAACATCCTTCGTTTATGGTCAAACTCACGGTCACCCGGAGTAGACCGACGGGCTTCAATGAGTTGTAAGGAGCCTGAAGAAACCCAGTGCTTATAAGCGGGACGCTTCGCGAACCCACAACTGACTGTACCCGCCATTTTCATGGCGTCATGCAATTGCAACCAATGCTCATCTATACTTTTCGGTGGAGTGGTAGCTAGCCTAGAGGCTAGCTCGGTTCGATACTTACTTGCAACAGAAGTTGCAACCAGCTTGCTAATATCAATCCGTTGATGGCGGTCACTTCGTTGTCCACTGAAAAGGCAAGATTGGCGCAGACCAAGGCATGGTCAGAGTCCAGATAGGTACTCCAAAAGGAGCGGCAGTCTTTTACACAACCATGCCAGCGGTAGCTGATCGCGATGTGATCAATCTGAGTCCAGGCTTGAGATGCAGAGGGAGGACGCCAGGTGGCACATCGGCGATGACTGTGCCGAAAGTTAGTGCTAGCCAGAAACAGGTTGTGGTCTGTGCACAGTTGCAGTAGACGGTCCCCGTTATCTGACCTGCGACCAACAAGTCCCCATCGGCCACCTAAACGACTCTCTTCTGAGCCTAGACGCCCGACCTGAACATTCAAGTCTCCGGCTATTACTACAATATCTGTCGAACGCACTTTCTGCAGAAGAACAGATAACTGGTGGTAAAACTCATCCTTGATTTCATCCGGGCTGCAATCTGTCAGGACATAGGCGGAGATGACGAAAAAACATCGTTTCTCACGCCGATTTCTTCTCGATTTGATGAAACTTTCTAACCTAACAGCACATAACCGACTGTTAATGGGGATCCAATCGACTAGTGCTGCCTCAGCTCTAGCGCTTAGTGCGACACCAACGCCAGCAAGACCAGACGAAAATGCCACAGGGTCTCCGGATAAATATACGTAAAACAAGCTTTTTGAAGCGACAGATGGAGAGCGAATTTGTAGTACTTCGCCAGAGTCTTGAATACGGGTCTCGGATAGACGGCAGACATCGATATTAAGACTTTCCAAAGACATAGCCAGCCCTATCTGTTGACCAACCTGCATAAGTGTGCGAACGTTGAAGGCAGCCAGTTTGAATGGCGCACGTGGTTTCAGAAAAACTGCTTCAGTACTCATATTCGATGGTAACATACAATTTTCGACCGGACAGTGACTCGAGAACGTTTAGATAGAACCGAGTTTCCACCATAGGCGAGCTGTTGTATAAGTCGAAAAATAAGGATACATAAAGTGGGAATAAAATAGAGTGAATAAATGACGTAGTAAATAATAACAATAACAATAATAATGTGAATCGTTTGGTTGTTAATCGAAGCAAGACAAGTATTTTCCATAAATATCGACATTTATCAATTAAGGTAAAGCCTACAGGTTTAAGTTACTTCTGTCTACTACAGCTCAGCAGGAATTTGACTAAAAATGTACGGACAACACCAGGTTATTAATTTGTTTAAAGTTCCGAAGGGAAGTAATAATAATACAACTGTCCTAGAGTTGTTTATTTTTATTTCAGAAATTATAGTTATCATAATCGGTTGTGATGTGCTCTGTTTGAGTGGAATTCTTTATCTGACATTCTCTGTACTTAGATACACTAACTTTACAACTACTTATGAATCACCAAACACAATGAGTGTAAACAATCACATTTTGTGATGGTTCACTAGAAGCAGTCGAAAAGTTCGTGCACCTAAACTGCTGTATGAATGCTCCTGGTAGTGTGGCATTTGATGAGTCTGCTTATGGTGAAAGCCAAAGGATTTCATATAAATCTATGCCATCTTCGGTGCTGCCATGATGTTAGTCTGGTTGTAGATGCTCAAATTTAAAATGCGTTAGTAAAAGCAGTTTTGGTTTATGGCTGTGAAACATGCCACCTCTTAGCTGGTTTTCGACGACTCTCTTTTCGACCACCGTTGTATGTGTGGTGCATACTTTTTCGGTGCTCGATTGTGCCATAATTTGTATGTAGTAATGGGAGATTAGGACTATTATTAACTCGTTATAATGGTCGTTCTGTTTAATATTCGACTGAATTCTGAGGAGTTCAATCATTAATTATTTCTGTTGTATTTTGGTAATTTTTGTTTTATCCACTCCTCAATTGTAGCTGTTGTCATAACATATAGTGGACGGGCTTGCCTATCTTGATGGCTCGATCGAGCTAAAGTGGCTGAGACACATGTTCCTTTAGGTCCTACCATTTCAGTCAGGTAATCTGGAAAACGGTAAGGTTAAAAGCAGCAACTTAAGGTCCGAGGGCGACGTCGTACTTGCTGACTGAAAAAGGGTGCGACAGCAGTAAGGGATTTTCCTCGGACAGTCAGTATCTCCAGTGATGTCACCTCACAACGCAAGCATGGGGCTAGAAAACGTCTACCCTAAAAATTTCACACCTTATATTATCCCACGGATTTCCGTCTCCGGCGGTATAGCTTTTCAAAGTGCAAAGCTACAACTCCCCCCATCAGTGCTAGTGACTTGAGTTCACGAAATCTTATCATATTCACCCTTCTTCAGATTTTGGAACACACATACTTTTCGACGTCCGAATAAAGGTGCTTTCCTCGACCTTAAGGCGACATTTGACTCTGTTGATCATGAGGTTTTGTGACAGTGTATGTCATTGAAAGACGTACCAAAGAAGTATATTAACCTTGTACAGGCTCTCTACTCAAACATTACTGGTCGAGTCAGAGCTTATGGTGAACTGCCATTGAAATTGGTTACTTCAAGTGGTGTTTGCCGGGGTTGTCCGCTTTCCCTATTTTTACTCAACTTTTTCGTAGACATTTTTAGAGAAAACGCTTTCATCGCCTGACTTTTCAGAGATTGATTCATTCGACTTAGAATACCCAGATGATATAGTTGTGTTTGGTGAAGACACTGGTAAAATGCAGTCTTCTGACCACTTTAAGTAACAGTGCAAGTATATTTGGGATACAGTCCTCTCCCTCCAAATATGAAATGTTACTTCAGGATTGGCTTCCATCAGCGCCTGGAATAATGATAGAGAGTGAAGTAGTTGAACGCATCGACCGCTTCACTTGTCTTGGGAGTCCCGTCAGTACTAATGGTCTGGTGTCTGACGAGATCACGGCACGGACTCAGGTGCTTTTATCAGCTTGCATCACTTGTGGAGTGGACGAGATATCCGTCTTCCAACCAAAGGGTGAGTTTACAGCACAGAAGTTCGCTCCGTTCTATTTGGTGGATGTGAAACATGACCATTAGGAGTAGATGATATTTTTAGGTTACTGGTATTCGATCATTGGTGTCTGGGAAGTGTTGCTCGTGTATTTTGGGACCATCAAGTATGCAATGCTTGGGCTAGAAATAGGGTACTAGATATGGATCAACGGAGTTGTTACGCGTGCCCAAGCACCACCTACCTCGACGTGCCATGTTGTTTGATGTAAGAGTAGGCTTGAAAAAAGCTAGGGGCTGCCAAACTTAAACACGGCATCAGTCCATGAAGCATCGACAGTTGGACCCCATCATGTTAATAGATGTACAATAACTACCTGGTTGTAGTCCGCGTGATTCTCGTAACCGATGGTTACTAACATTGAATGACATGGCTCAAAATCGTTTGCAATGGCACAGGTGCATCTATTCTTTGTCTTCCGCCAAATTCTAAATTCCTCATAACTTTTTATTGTTTTTATTTCAATAATATGTTTTTTTTCGAATCGTATCTTCGATACCTAGCCTCTCCTGTTACCACTGGTACTGTTACTATCTGTACTACTCTGGGATTCGCTCTGACAACTTCATCTTTCCGTGCTAATGGGTTATGACAACTTGAACTGATGTGGATACTTACCAGGTTTTACGTTGTGACTGTCTGTTTTACTCAGTTTCGGCCTGTACTCAGTACAAAATTCGTTATAATTATTTAAATGTATTTAATATTCATCGAAAAGTAAAATGGTACAGAAAAAGTAGTATATTTCCATAAGACATGCTAGCAGTCGCCGACCAGACTTGTTTTCCATTATCTGCTTAATAGCTGAGGGCTGGGTCGAGAGTTTTTTTATACTCCTCATATGATAGAGTTAGATAAAGTATTTCCAAAATCCCCATTTAACTACTGTAAACAGTTTAGTTAATGACATTCCTCTACTTATGATATTTCGGTTGCTGTATAATCGTGTTTATGATCACATGAACTGGATAGGCCTATTGGTAATTGTAAGATATTGTAAAACGAGATTGTCATCTAATTGGAGGGTAGGAGAATTAGTAGGATGTTGAGATTCTGTTCGGGCAGAACGTTTTTGTAAAATGGGGTCTGATGTGATAGCATCTAGAGCGAAAGCGGAAAATGGTTATGATAAAAAGGTGACCTTAGAAACGTGATACGATGCCTAAGAATTGGGCTGAACTATCTGTCCTTAAGCTATCGAACAGAAAGTGAACTAAAAATGCTCATTCCAATAATTTACGGCTTTTTATTCTTTGTGTTAATATTTTATATAGCATATCGCTTTATCCCGAAAAACATATTATTCTGGTCACTGGTCTTGTGTCTGGCTTCAAATTATTCGAATGCTTAAACTAACGATTTGTGTTTGTGAGCAGCCATCACTAGCTACACTTTGTTTGTCGGTCAACTCTATTCATACAAAAGGTGCTGGACACTTAACTGTGAAACCAACGACAAAAAGTAACTGATGAGTCCACATCGTTTGAACTAATTTACTTGTTTCTAGTAAAGGGATATAAACAGAATATACAAGCCAATTTAATTTAGTAATATCTGACTTTTCTGAGTTGCGTTGCCTCTATAATGTTTTTCAAGGATTTGCAATGGGGTATGCTTTAATCTCACTGGCACTTATGAACATTTCTTGAGACGGCATATGATTCTAGGTGTGGAGGGTCCCGGAACCTTTAGTCCGTACGTTCTTGTTAATAGTCCCCGGGATCTAGATTTCCCAAGTTGTGGTTAGTCAAATAATCTTCAAAATGAAGCCACGAAATCTAATGAAATTGTTTTAGAGAACCATTATATCATATGCTTACAGGTCATTTTGGTTGATAGTCAAAATTTGAAGGGGTATTTGGATGACAAAGGTTCACAATCCTGTTTGCTCGTGAAATTTTACTTAGTATTCCAAAAAAGCAAGTTTCTGTGAAACTATACAAGTGCAGTAGTCGGGTGGCATATTGAAAGACATCTGAGTATTTATAAACAGTTGTCTTATTTATGTGGTATTCCGAAGAAATATCGCACTTATTGAAGGCAGTACTCGATTGAACTTCCCATGTAATGTAAATAGATGGAAAGATAATCATTCCTGTTCTACTTGAAGCAGAAAGCGGCATTCAGTATATAAGTGGAAGCCATGGTTACCAGGCTTTTGAATAATAGAATTTGATGCGTTTATTTGTTTATTTATTTGGACACATAGATACTGGTACAAGGGGGCACCAAATACATATGCGCCACTCAAATCTCATTTGATTTGTGTGAGGGCTGTGATACTGCCCGGGTGCCAAAACCGAAGCAGGGGGTTTCCTTAGGGGGCCACACCCAGAGCCTTCGACCTGAATGTCTGGTCCACAAGGCAGTGAATCATCGTAAGGAGATACAGTCCCATGGTAGCCTGTGACCAACAATTGGTTCATACGCCATTTGTTCCTTCAGAGTACCGGAGCCCATGTGCACCATTGGTTCGGAATCAGGGTTTTCCAATTCCTCTAGGTGGGTTCTCCGTGTCCACCAACCCGGTTAGAGCGCCGGGCATTCGCTTTTCGTCCTCTCAATTCCGTAAACAACGCCCTCGCCACGAGAAGGCAGTGAGTAGGACTTCCCTGGCAGATACTATATACGCGTGGCCATGTGAGAACATTTCGAGAGGGAGAGCGAACTCTCCTCACTCTCGGCTGTATCAGGGCATTTGGGGCCACGACTGTTGAATGTTTCCCGTATAAACTATTAAGAACTACTTAGCCCTTCTTTCTATGGTCTTTAAATCCTTGATCGTAAATTCAACAACTGAAGTCGAGTAACAGTAAATCAAATCGTTAATGAAATAAATATTTTTGGAGTGGATTGTGCATCACGGTTGTTCGGTTAAACATAATTGCCGAACTGCCCGGAATATTTCTAGTTCGATAATCAAATGTATGTTAAAGAGTCCCTAAATAACAGAACCATAAACTCCCAATGACTAGTTTATAATAAAATGTCATTGTTTCCTGAAAAAGTTGTCTTTAATGTGACGATACAAACGACAGTTACATATGATTAAGCCAGCAGAAATTATTTTAAAAACGTTAGCTACTTAGTTTTAATATAGTAGTTTAATGTAGAATGCATTATATTAAAGATTTTAAAATTTACAAAAACTTAGAAGAGTAATCGAAATGCTCGATATTATTAACATTGTTTCTCTTGATAAACATGGAAGTAATAATTTTGATTGCTGAAATAAGAATAAGATATACTTACGCAAGATATAGACATTCAACTTAGGTTATACACACCATTTGAATGAATGCAGAGAAACTGATTGACGATTAAGAAACAGGTAATGATTTCTATCTCATATATATAGTAACAGTTAAAGTCAAAAGAGAAAACAAATAAACTTCAGTGTGTTAAAATAGAATACTTGCAATCCGATAATTAACACTTTTAATATGGCACCGTATGTGTACTTATTTATATTTGTGATTGTGCGTTAATTGTTTCGTAACATACGAAGGTCACTTCCGCAGTAATGCTTCAAACTCAGGTTGTTAATACGTTAGTTGATGCCTTTTTTAGCGATTGGTAATTGCAAATAACTCTTTCAAGAAAGTCATTGTTACAGTTTTGATCAATGAATGTTGAAATATTAGTATTTTCACCATGTGAATTCGCTGAGTTCGTCTGAGATGGAAATGATGTACGGATTAGTGATGGTCTTTCATAACCTAGTGAGTCAACACCACCACCAGTTTCCATTAACCAATAAGCTGTTAGACTCCGGTTATTGGTTGACCCACTACCACTATGAGGCATAGTGTCTACCATACTGGTTGATTTTGAATTAAATGATTTAGAATGTAGTGGTTTACTGTGTGCATGGTTGTAATTAAACGGAACTAGATGACTCCCTCTTTGATCACTGTTATTAGCATCGGTGGTACTGAGGGAATTGAACTTATTACTGTGATTACTACTCTTATCATGAAAACCCAAAGTTTTGTAAGAATTTACTTTCATGCCATTTTGATCGCGTAATAAGGTGTCTAAGCAAAAGTTTGAACTTGGTGGTTGGATTTGGTTTTGTCGATGTTGCAGAATCGCATTTGTTGAGTTTGTCATTTTATCAATTCTGTTCTCCGTATTACCTTGTATTGACCGCGACTTCAGCTTAACCGAGGCTTGTCTATTACTTTCAGTACCGTTCGATGTAGTCGCCAATGTCGTCTGTTCCGTGGATGGATCAGACATTGAACATTCATAAGCACCAGCCAGTGGGGCAGTTGATGAGGTGTAAATTCGGTTCTCCATTCGAGACTCCCGGTAGTTGAACTTATTCATACTAATGCCTTCAACACCAGGTGTTACAATGTAACCACGAGTAGCTGTTTCTGCATACGAACGGCTTTTTGTATGAAATGCCGATGGCTTCAAGTCTTTAGAATTGTTGGATGATAGTAGAAGTTGTTTACTGGAACTCATTCCTTGGGATAGATTGGTCTCATTAATTAGCGATGAATCCATGTCGCTTACTGGGCGTCCACCATCTAGAGATGTCCTACGTTGACAGTTATTAGAAAGCATGCAAAGTGATAAATCATTTGATTCGTGATGTGGTTTGTTGGAACCATACATGGATGCTTGTTGTCCTGATCTACCTATATGACAAAATAATAATCAGTGGTTAATATTTTTTGGTTGTCACAAGTTTAGGCGTGGAAAGCTGTATTTGTTCTAACTCTGAAGTCTTATCATTAGATACATAAAAAGGAACCAGAAATTCTGTTAATTATTCTTAACCTTCCACAATCTGTTTAGCCATACAATTTTTGGTGGGCTCAGGTATGGGTTATAATGAATTTGGAGAGCTATTAATTTTCTGATATTTTTTTTGAAATTACAACCCGATAAAAGTGTCTTTGACTCCAATAAAACCTTAAGATAAATAGGCCATGTTAATTCCATTGAGAATAAGATCTTTTTACATTGACTTAAACCATCTACAAATTAAGAACAACTGAAAAGTTGCAAAATGAAATCAAGAAAAGACTATCTACACATTCGGAGATCGAAAGGGGTAGTAAAAATATCTATTTATGAAGGTAAATATGACGTGATAACCGAATCCTGATACTACAGAATAATGCGATGAGATTTGGTAAGTTTGTTTTAGATAAATGTTTAGTCGAATTCCTAACTTAGTATAATGACACTTCGGATCTTCACCCACAGTTTTTGACTAAATAAAATACTGCTTGTATTGTTTTCTGTAGTACAAAATATAGAATAATTAAATGATGTTTCAAGCACTTTTAAAAAGTTTTAAGTCATACCTTGTAAACTTTTGGGCAGAGGCAACGATACAACAAATGGTTGAGAGAAGGGGCTTTGATTATTTTGTGAAGCCATAATGAATTCATCCATCTTTTTGCATAACTGTCCAAATGTTGGTCTCATTTCTGTGAATCGACTCCAACATTGTAGTAGTTGATTATAACTGAAGGTAAACAGATAGTAATTGTTTTATTAGGCTTCTGTACAAAATAATTGAATAAATAGTGTGTTATGGTATTGCAATTGTGTTTCAAAAGTATTTCATTTATCTATCAAGACTTCATTTGCATGGTAGGTAAAAATAATAAAAAAACTCATTGTTCAAGTCTAAAATGGTAAAAGTCACTTTTGGCCTATTGGGACCTTTGAAGTATCTTCGAGAAAAGGAATTATATTTTTATTATGAGCTCTACAAATCCAGCAGATATTACTAAATTAATGGTTATACTATGGTTGTGAAGCTATCTAAAATACTGATAGTTCATGAACTACTCGATTAATATCATTTTCTTCAGTTAAACCTTTTTGAAATATCTAAAACACTTAGCACCTTTTTCACGCAGCTTATTTAACTGCAAATGTTAATAATATTATTAAAGACTACTTGCAGCTATGTGTTTCTTGAACTCTACTTTTCTGCTATAATGTGAGTGTTCGTATAGCATCTAAAACAATACAACAAAGTGGAAAAATGAGCACCATGAATTGAATGTCAATCACGTTGTGACTGCCTTACAATGAGACTCATGATTGGACGTTTAAATGGAAATTTATGCCGAAATGTGCTGAATATTATAAAGAATACTGTTTTATTTGATGTACTTCACAAATGTGTACATACTGTTTCCGATGAAGGTTTCAGTGCTCATCATGGAAATTTCTTTCCCAGGGTGTGAAAGAGTGACATATCAGTTTTGACACCATCTTTCTTTCCAAAATGTATAACATATAAGCGTAAAGATTAATTCATTCACTTGTTAGCATATATATATATATATATCTAATAATAATACTATGATTAAGGACAATACTGTTATGGATGCAGAATAATATACCAATCATTATCATGTTAAGTCTAATGATGTCCTTGGACGTTAAATGAACATTTCCTATTGGCCGCTATTTATTTCACTCGTTAAATATTGTACAGATGTTGTTTTCTATTTTTATGGTACGATGTGGTCTGTTTGGTTAGTACATAAATAGAGTATGTCTGAAATATACTGATTCATAACTCAGAGGCTGTGACTTGCGTTCTAGACTCAACTGGCTGGGCTAGACAGGGAAGGGGGGCCAATCAGAACCCTAGGCCGTTCATTACGTGTTTACGTGCCACTGATTCGATCGATAAAACGCTGCTTATCAAAACCTGCAGTCACACGTTACAACAAATACAATACAATTTGTGGGGGGGGGTGGAATAGTTTATTGCTCAGACCATAAATAACAATAAATTCAACATTTTAAATATTACTCATTCAATTTTTTTTATTTTGATCGTTTGGATTATATTCTACTTCTTTGTTAGGACCACTAGGTTTCGTGTTGAAACATTTTCTTTTGATTTCGTTCTCATAGTGAGGCTTGAATGATTAGTATCTAAATATGAGGAACTGGTAATATTATAAACTCGTTAACATCTATCTACATTAAGCTTGAGATACAGTTTCAAGGTTTTAATCAATAACTTGTTGTTGTTTGGACTTACAGTTCTTCTGGACAATTTTCAGGACATCCCAAAACGTGTCCACCAATAACTAAATTCATGACATCCACATTCGCTCGGCCGTAAAATGGGTCAGCACCTAGGGTTAAAACTTCCCAGCAGGTAACAGCATACGCCCTAAAAGGACAGGAAAAGTTCATAAAAATAAGGTAGTAATAACATTGATTACACGTAGCCTATGATATAAAATAAATTTAATAATATATTCAGAATATTAGGCAAATAATGTAAATTTAATTCAGAATCAGTTAACCGAACGAACTTAGGTTTAATGTCATAAGAATGCAACCACCCTAACACTCAAACATTTGTTTATTTTATTGAAAAGTTCAAAGGAAACAGCTAATAAATTATTCTATAGGAAGGTTCTTTGCAAATGTGCAACAGTAGATTACTGGTTGAAGTCTTAGGGTTTCAACCATTAGGAAGAAGGTTTTAAACTAGCAATAGTGAATTCTGTTTGAGGAACCGGCCACTGTCAATAAATTTCATACAAACAATGCGGTTCGATGTTGAATACATAGACATATACTTGGCAAATAAGTCACATATGAGAGTAGAAATTTATGTTTACTCTGGTCTTTTCCAGGAACGTAATCAAATGATATTATTGTATCTCCCTAGTCACTTACATTCGTTTGACTAAAAGATTTATTTCTATTTTGTATATTTTATACGGAATATTTGGATTTATTCGTGATCACGCGACAAAATTTTAATGTAGGGCAGTCAAACTGGTGTATAGTTTACTTGAACCATTGTGAAACTAAAATCTCACCCGAAAATGTTCTGTTAAAAACACTTTATTGGGATTCACAAGTTGTTTACCTTGTTTGGTAGGGAACTAAAGTTGTATAAGTACATTAATAGTATTTTTCGAGAAATCAGTCACTATTATATCCATAAGTTACGAGTTTCAATATCACAAAATCGTTTTACATTTAATATCACTCAACGTCTATAACTGGAACATGGTTTGGTTTTCTTAGTAAATTTTCTGGTGTAGTGACTTGTTTCTATAAACTTCTGCCAACATATTATTTAATGTAGTTCACTGTTGTTTTTTAAGCTTATATCACTATGTAAACAAAGCCAACTTTATCACTTTAACATCATATGACGTCTGTTTTATTTATAATTTCTTATGCAAAACAGAAATGTTACCAAACAAGCTTTTCAAACAATGAAATATGGTGAAAATTACTATTTCGATGTACACACTTCGAGTATTTATAATCTAATGGATAGATTAAGAAGGATCACTTCAAACTCTACATATGGTAGTAGAATTTTTACTATAAGGCTATAAACTCTAGTTGAAAAATTCTTTTCATTGGACATTGTACTGTTGTAGCTAGATTTCAGTTTGTATAGTTCAAGAGAGGTTATTTTGATGAAAGTTCGGCTTGATTAATGTCAGTCATACTTATTATAAAAATTTTATAGATGAAATGCGTTTACATTATCCAAGAACTTGTAATCTGCATGAAAATATATGGATGCTTTTTAAAATTATTCTTCATAACGTGTGCAATCGCTAGTAAGAACTCCGGAATATTTCTTAGGATTACCATTATATGTAATAAGTGATAAACTTCTGCGAAACTTGTTTATTCGTTAAATAAATTTTAAGACAACCTATTGAAGCCAATTTTTCTTCACAAGATGCTTTCAAATGAAGAGTTTAGCTATTCTTTGCTGAAAATGTTGAAAAAACCACAGAATGCGGTCAAGAATAATAACAATCAATCAGAATGGACTACTCTAGTTGTTTGCCAAACAAAATTATTTACTCTGAAGAAGTAGCTTGCATTAAGTCACAAAACATGCGAAATAAAAAATTTTTACTGATTGAGTTATAATAAAAAATATATTTATTATTAAATGATAGAATAGAATTAATAATGTAAAATCCAGTTTGTGTGCTCTATACGGCGAATGTAGTCAGGGTAGATTATAAATGAAAATAAATTTGTGTATAGTAATTAGTGAGTGAATAATCTTATTTATTCCTCCTTAAGGAAATATAAGTTAACAACCCGTTAAACATTTGACTCTGATGTATATGTATGTCGATACAACGTAAACGTTAGATGTATTAATATATCAATTACATACTGACAATTATGTTTAACTGGACTATAAAAACAGTTCTATAGTAAGAGAAATAATGATAAACTGCTAGTTTATATATAACTTATCTGTATCTATATATTTGTTTATATATCCATTTAAAAGATAAGCGAATTCAGTGTATGTCGAGTTTACGTTTTTCTATGCGTTGATTAGCAACATAACTATATAGGTGTTTGTATGCAAACAAGTCCAAATACAAACTCTCGTGAAAAGGAACATTGATAATTAATTACTATACGTGTTACATCTTATTGTAACAAAAGTGTACATTCTGTGATTTTCTGTCTAAATTTTTTGCTTCTAGAACTGACAAAACCGTTCACACAAACAAAGAAAAACATTAATTACATATGATTAAATAGTTTTTCCACTGGTTTTTTCGTTTCAAAATATTCTTAGAAATTTTTACTAAATCAATTTAATCATCATTTTCAGCTAGTATCAAATTGTGACGCCTGACTGATTGTATAGACTGTAGTATAGTAACAGATATGACTAAGTTTCAAGTTAAGATATTTAATCAGCTTTTGAGTGTTATTATCTCACTTGATGATATACAAATGGTTTTTGTCCTCTTTAAATAATGTTATTATATGCAATAAATCAAATCAAAGACTGGACTGATATCAACTTTAAAGTAGTAGATTATTTGTCCTATGTTTTTTTCAACTATAGACAATCGCTTCATAGTTTATTAAGAGAACATTCGAATACAGACTTTATGAGTAGAGACCGGAGGTACCTAATCTATCTACCTAAATAGATACATATACTGGAACATTTAACTAAAAATCAATCTTAAGAAGACTCATTTAATAAGAAAGTTTCAGAACTAAATAATGTACAAAATGCCAATACATAAAAACGATTAATCGAAAGTAAAAAGGAGAAGAATTAACATGTCAAGCGGATAACTCTAAAATTTTCTATAAACATGTTTAGCAAAATTTTACAATGTGAACAACATCTCACACGTATCTACGTCCATTTGAAATAAATATAATCACACTTATTGTTTATCTACAGAGATCCGGGAACGTTTGTTAAAGAGATTGCAACAAGAAATAGGTTTGTGTGTACATATGACACTTTAAAGGTATTCCATTTTCGATTATTAGGTTTATTCACGCGATTAGGCAAAGAACTTCACTCAGTCTTATCTAACCACGTATTTAACCATTGATATATATTGCAAATTTAAGTAATGTTTATTGTAGCTAGTGGATTACATTTTGGAACAAATAATTGTTTCTATTACTTTTTAATGGATAGATGGATGTATGGTGCTCAATATTGCAAAATTATTTTTTTAAACGGTACATACTGATGATCACATTTCATAGTAATTATCCACTTTTACTATTATGCATATAGAGGCCTATCTAAAAAGTTTATTTCATGAGATCTGACGCCTATTAACTAATGACTTCTAGTAGTGTTCGTTGTTAATCAGAACAGGAGTAGCTAAATAAACTATGGAGTTAAGAAATGATTGAACCATTTTACAGCATCGTATGTTATTAACAAGTGAGGAAATGTCGTATGTGTGATAATAAAAGATAAGGGTAAGTTCTAAACTTCACACCAGCAAATATTATTTAAAATTCTACATATCTTTTAGCATAGAGATTATTAGACATAAGACACATTCCAGTAATCACTGAAAGTATGCCGAAAACTGCACGGGATTTTTCACGATGGTAACTGTTAATTGTTTAATATTATACCTCTGTTGCAGGATTTTCTAATAGTGAACATAGTTAACACATACTTAATCGAACGCATAAAACTCCTAGTAAAATTACTTGCTATGGCTGAAATTCGTTCAGAAATATAGATCATACCACTGGTTACAACTCTATATCGGTAGAGGGTCATTCATAACTTGGTTTTAAGAAAAGATACGGTAGATAGATATTCCTATTTAAGAGTAAATTGAACGCTTTTTCTTTAATTGCAAAAGGTCAATTTACTGTTCTTCATACTGATATTGATTCCATGATATATCTATCAAATTCATAAGATCCCGATTAGACTTATAAGGCAAATTCATACATTATAATTCTAACTGACATTCCAACAATGTTTCTTCCGGCAAGTTGGAGATATTTTTTTAATCGACAGATAGTATTTTAACGGAAAAAGTATTAGAGTGTCATTTAGGTGAATTTTCTTGTCACCTTCTTTTTAACTTCCCATAAGAGTTTAGAGTGGATCAACTTACTAGAATCCGCCTAAATATTTTTCATGTATATGGAATACCAATATAGGGTTTTAGAAGGGGAGTACTACTTTTACTGAAATCGTTTAGAAATATGCTAAGAAAAATTCCGCTTTCGAATTAAGATGGAAGCTTCTTTATTGAATTTTAAGGAAACTAAACATTTCTCATAATTTCAGAACAATTTAGCCTGCTCTCATAATTCATCTTATTGGCAGACTTATTCTAATGATTAAAATGATATAGGTTTGTTTCTTGATTGAAAAACATGGACCGCTTCATTCTGAAAGGAACAAAGTGTTTTCCACCAAGTGTTGGGCAGAAGCATCAATATTTCCAAAAGAAATAAAGTGTTCGGTCATTACACAATATACACTGTGTGTGATATTTACAAGCATGCGTAAATTCGTTTTATGTTCAGTGTTTATTTGTTCAGAGGTGAACTTTAGATAGATAAACAGTATCACTTAATTCAATGCACCAATATGCCACACGTCACACGAAATAATTTGAACATCCTTACATAGCAACGTATTACCTGTCAGAATCTGATAATTATCAACCTACAGATTGAGTTGCAATAATATCTAATCATTTCAGATAGCTAATTCAACTTTATTTATAACTAATTAAGACTGAATTATTCTTTTTATGTAAGCGAAAGGCAAAACTTCTTAACCTGTGTCGTCAAAAGCAGCATATTTACGTCAGATTTATCTAAAAATTAGAATATAGAATGTGAGTTGTACATGAGGGTATTTCAGTGTTAGTTAATAATATCCATTATGTGTCTTTGTGATGCTCATTATCTACAGATAAGTATATAAAATTATAGACGTATGGTCTGTAAAATAACTTAAAAGACCTCGGACAACTTCGGAACAAACACCTTATGTAATTAAAAGAAACATGTTATCCGGAATCACAGATGTATTAGTAGTACACTGAAGCCTGGATATAAGTATGTTAGATGAAGCTAAAACACCAGTGTTTAATTCACACAGAGAGAAGATATTCTTTTCTAACAGAACACTTATATAAATATTTTTTAGTGTATTGAACCATCATATTGCTTAGGTAAGTAAGCATGAAGCTATTTACCCACCTGTTATCAAATTAAGAACGATTCTTGGATAACTCCTACTGAGGCATTCTGTGAAAGGCTTAGAGAAATGAAAACAATTATAGATTTTTTTACATCGAGATTTTACCCAGTAGCTATAATACTAAACGCGGTGATCAATAGGGAAATATTTGCTTACCTTACAGAAGTCCTTTTAAATATTTTTGTCTCTTCTTTCCTTTGGAATTAAATTGACACGTTTTCTTACTATAGACTTCTGTTAGACATAAAGTCACGTCATAGAAACTAATTGGTCAATGTAATCGCTGTATAGGTTTGAATACTGAAAAAGTTCTATTTTCTCACCATTCAGTTAGCAAACCGTCATCTGATATAAAACTGTGCATAATCAACAGACAGGAATACAATTTACTAGCCAGTATATGAGTCTCCTTATTCATTTGTGAATTATTTTGATCAGGAACAAGTTTATGAGTAAAATAATCCTTCCAACAATGTTTATTATCTACCTTAAGCATACTCTATCACATCCAAATAATTCTGATATAAAACAACTTAAAGTAATGATTTATTGAAAAATCTGGAAACCTGTTGTTGAGATTGTATAAAACATTGATTTACCAAAAGTTGTTTGTAATTACTGAACTTTAATAGAAACCTATTTTCCTTCCCTCATTTATTTTGCACCCAAAACGATCAATAAATTCTGGAAATTCTTTTACTAAAATGTTATCTATCATTTTAGTTTACGTGTCTTCCTGTGCCTAACTGCTTATTGAATTTAGATTATTATATTGTTGTTTTCATTAATTTTCCTAATTTTTCATGCCTTGTACTTACTAAAGCGTCAAACGAAAGGTACATTTAATGGTTTATCATAAGTGTTTTGCCTTTGTTTGTTAAAATATTCACAAACAGAAGCATAAATCAGTAAATTATGCATTTATAATCAGAGCATTGGTTACTTGTATATTATAGTATCGAATACAAAACACAATGAATGTTTTGATTGTGGAGTTTAAAAACAAAATAACTCCCACTTTGTTCATTTGGATAGATATAAGCTGAAGCAAAAGTGCTGGTAATAAATGTAGATGAGTAGATAATTTCAGAGTTACAGCTATCGAAAGAACAAGCAGCATGAAAATCTCAGGTATTGATTTTTCTCTACGAGACACTCACTTGAATAAATGTTAATCCTAATGTAGTGTATGATGAATGACTCCTTGGGAGAGATTATAATCCTTATTACAAAGCCTCTATTCGTTAACTACTCGGTTGACATTTTGTCATGTCAATTATTGCCTCTTGAGAAAAAAGAATATTTATCTTTTCTAAATGAATAGAAAATATTAAAACTACTTCTTTAGGCTTTAGAACTGAATTTCGAAACTTGTAATTCATACTGCTGTATAATGATTTTGTTAGATTTTATTGAGCTTCCCTAGTACCATTTAAAAAATATGTGTAATATAAACCAAAAAATGTAGTGGTAGCTGATACTAAACATTTTCCACTTACCAAACATCAGATTTTGTTGTGAATAAACCATCACGAATAGCTTCTGGCGACATCCATCTCACAGGTAATTTGGGTTCATTGCGCTTACGATAGTAATCATTTTTATAAATATCTCGTGCTAGTCCGAAATCACACAATTTGACTATACGTCCACTTGAATGATTATGACTCACTAAACAGTTTCGTGCTGCAATGTCTCTGAAGAAAGAGATTATATGCATTAATAAGTAATAGTTTAATACAATATCATTGCGGAAATCGATATAATTGCATGTCTCAGTCTTATAAGGTCGAATAGGACATAATAAATTATCGGGAATGAGGTTGGTTTTCCTCATTAATAAGTAGAAATTGTCGGACACATGGTTAGAAATCGGAATAAGCAGAGATCTGAGATTAGCACAACTACCAAACTGTCATTAGGTTACAAGTGTATTAAAATTAATTAGTAGCTAGCAGTGGAACTCAGAACATTCTTTTCGTTCTACATGTGACTTGTCAGCTGAGTATCGTATCTGGATCTCAGAGCCGAGGATTACACTGCACAGCATTTTGGGCTTCAAACATTAACCCTCTATCCATTTAGCTATTGAGTCCAGATAGCTATCAGATTGTGCTACAGCTATGAATTTAGTTTATTCAACTCTAATAAAATCTTAATTTTTAGCTTGAAAGAGCAAATCAGCCATCGAGATCAATAACTTTCTCATAATTAGCAAAATCTTGTAATGCGTAACACATTTAATTCAACTTGTCAAATTTGAATAGCCATAAGCTGACTAAGTGGATGAATAACTGTCGCATAATACTGATTACCAAACAACAGAAGATTCATTGAGTCTCTCACTAAGGCAAAACGAAACAGTGATGCTAAATGAGTGTTAGAAAAATGTATGTACATTACTAGTCAAAGATTGGTGTCATTTAGAAAATAAGTGAGCGAATTCATTTATCTTGGTGACTTGTCGAAATTTCATGACAAATGTGGAATAGCTCAGACATAGTAATTCTTTAAAATTCAGCTCTGATTAAATTTTGTACTAAATTGGTAAATTCAAATCACTGCATATATATCAGCCTTCACGATGAGACTAGAGAAGTTCAGATGTTATAGTACCATAATTTTGACTGCAACCCCAGGTTTATAAACCAGTTGAGTTCATTACTATCTATAGGATCAAAGATAAAACTGTTGATCCAAGAGATTTTCCTCATTTTTCAACTATTGTTAATATTTCAAACATTATGTTCCTGTATAACCTATCAGAATTCAGTCAAACATTTAAAATCTCTCGTATAATGGCGAAGAAACATGGAATGATGAAAGTATCTTATTTATTCATCTTTATAATGAACCAGAAATTTCAAAAATTTCAATATTGTATTTGGAAGTTGAATAGCTGAAAAGTTTTGAATTTTTTTCACATGTAAATTATTGTTTCGATTTTAGAGTCATAGTTGAACACCCAACGTCCAGTTGTTAAGGAATTTTAATGAGAAAAACGATAACACTGTAAAACTTGTAGAAAGTCATGCCATCAATAGTAAAAGTCGGAACAAGTCTTTTTATATTTTCTCTGTTCTTATATCCATCTTGTTGCTTTTTATTCTTGGTACTTCTTGACTGGAGAAGAGTTTATTAACATGGGTCAAAAAATGTTTTTTCCCAGATCCTGAACTGTTTCACATGTCAGTTTATTTCGTTTTCATTAGTTGGATATATGGTTTAAGGAAAACATCGTGACAAAGATAAAATTTCTAGGAACTATAGGGATTGTTTTGTCAAGAAGAGGTGTGTTCAAGATGTCAGATATACATATTTCTATAAACAGGAACTTTTCATTTACATGCTGTTACTCTAGTACAAATATTTTTTTGTTTTTCAGTTTGAAGTCTTCATCATTTTTACGGAATATTTTCAAGTGAAAATAACTCAATTTATTTGCCTCAAGTATTATTTTTTTAGGTGATTGTGTTATAAGTTACTTCTTATATTCCTTGTTCCAGAAGATTGCGGAAACTGATCACGTTCCTTGGTAAATAATATCTTAGGATTTTTTAAACCTTTCCTTTTTATAGTTTGCAGGGACTTTAATCGATCAGTTTGAAGCTAATTTCTTACTCTTGTTTCAGATTGGGTCTTTAAAGTACAATTAGTGCATCATCAAAGAAAAGAAAGAAAATGTTCCCTAGTTACTCTATGCTTTAGGAACACATTGTATGCATCGTAGCCCCATAGTTACATTATTACTATGCTTTGAAAAAGAGCTCCAGTTAAGCAGTAGAATGTTTCCAAAATATAGATATTTTTACGTTGATTAACATCCAAATTTCTTTATGAGGAAAATTTAACTATAAAACAGTTACTGGAAATATCTAGACACCTCAGATATCTATTTCAGATCTGTGATAACTAACAGTTGACAAAGGTAAAGCCAACGATAAAGCTCCCTCTAAATAGTCACTGAATTATAGGATGCAGAGATACTCGTAGGCGTTTGGAGTTAGCTAACAATATATAATATAGATATTTTTCGAATTAATTCTTACTAGTATGTAGAGTTGCCGTACCTAGAAATATTACTTAAGTGACTATGATATATCATAATTTATGTTTACCACTGAGTTGGGTTTAGTGGAATAGCTTATGAATCCAAGTAACGAGTTTTACATTTGATAACAACAAAATAATAGACACGTACGGTTTATAACGTATTGTGTTGCCCAATCATGATCTGACAATTTTCAAAACGAATGAATGTTCACTCATATAGTAGATATGTTAAGGAATTTAAATTGCACTTAAAATGTCTCAATTTGTATCAAGCTATTAATTTTGCATTACGACTTTACACGAGAATGTTCATTAACAGCAGATTGTAGTATAAGATCTTCATCAACTGTGATATTATCAGTAGTCCTAACACAATTTATTTGTTTCACTAAGCCTTCTGTTATCAAGTCATATATGTCACAGGAATATTTCATAAACACTTTTACGCTGAACCAAGTAGCAGATTTTTCCTTGAAATCATGAAAGAACTGTTTAGGATACTGACCGCAAACACACTTGTTTATTCATTTTCTAAAACAGTAAGTTCTAGTATCAACCCAGTAGTAAAGTCATAATGTTCATAATAAGTAGATTTGCATAAAAATAAGGAGTGGAATTCTTACCTATGGACAAAGTGTTGCTCTTCAAGATAACGGCATCCATGACATATATCTCTCATTATGGTGACTAGTGCAGGTAGATCTAACTGTGCTGTCAATGTAATAACGTTTGAAGCACTTGGCGTTCCACCACCCGGCGCCGTACTAGTTGTGCTCGTGTTTACTGACGAGCCATCAGAACCTCCTGTTCTCCCAGCAGCGGCACAGATAGCTGCAGCAGCAAAAACATTCGCAGCTATATCAGGTGCAATTCTTGGCCGTGAACGGTGAAGATAATCTCTTAAATTGCCCTGATCCATCATTTCTAGGACAAGACATTGTTGTCCAGGTGAGTCAAATGACACACCGAAGAATCGTACAATATTTGTATGTTGATATTTGTGCATAAGTGTCGCTTCACGTTTAAATTCAGCTTCAGTTAGTGATTTACAATTTCGTACCTGATTTAAGTGAGAGCGAAAAATTTGTTATTATATCTTTTCACTGTTTAAATTGTTAGCTTATGATAAGTGGAATATATTTTATCATACTTTCTTCACAATACCCACGGAATAAGATGATAAGCTTCACTGTACATTAAAGCTATTTTGCCCTTGATATGAAAATAGAAGATTCATAGTTGAACAAATTTCTGAAAAACCCTATTCGTTTGTATTTTTAACCATAGCATTAATCATAAAATTTATCGAACTCGACTTAGAATATTAGGCCTTGAACCTAGTTGGCAATAGTGAGTTTGACGTCAGATCTTATTATTTTTGATCAACCCAAAAAATTGCCATCATTTGAATATACCCAACTAAGCATTTAAAAACCGAGTAAAATGGTCTATAAATGATTAAACCCCCTAAAAACAAGATCAGAATAAGATATGAAGTTAAGAAACGTCAAGGATAATCAGCAAGTTGCGTCAACAAATTTAGAGGAAGAACAGAATCAAATTATGATATTGACAAAGTTATGTACTACTAGTTTGACTTCAGTTTAAAATCTGCTTTTAATCCTGGTTCGAACGGTTGGAGTAATAATGATAATTTCTTAGAGTGGTGAATGTCTAATAATCGAATTTGTACCTATTATACCTACAATAAACTATTTGTTAATTGAAAAATACTATTTCTAGATGAGGTTAAAAGTCATGTTACGTAGGGCTGTGGTTAATAATGTTCAGATGCATCAGTAGTAAATATTTTGATTGCATCGCTAAGTGACATTGGTCCTAGTCCCTGGAGAAAGATATTTTTCAGGTTTGGAGATACTCTCTGTTAGTGAAAGAGAATAAATATGCTATCAAACAGTGAAATTTATTGGCTTAATGTCCATTTTTTAATAGCAAAGCTTTTTGGTTATCGTATAAATGTGATTGACAGACTTTATTCAGTACCAAAGGGTAGACTGAATGAGAAAAAGCTTCTACCCAGGGGTCTATTAACGATCACGATCGTATGAATTCCAGATGATGTTGACGATCTTCTCAGGTACTCCACAGTGTCGAAATTTCCAGAATGTTCTTTTATCCATACCGTCTAACGCTTTCCCATAGTCAAGGAAGTTGATGCATAGTGACGAATCCCATTCATTTGATTGTTCAACGATGATTCGTAATGTCGCGACTTGGTCTGTGCGTTTTTTTAGTAAGGTTGTTTTCTAAGGGATAGGGTTTACGACCCCCAGCTCAACCCCCCTCCCTTACCCGAGCTTGCGACTGGCAGTAGCCCTAGAAGAACTACAGGCGGAGTTTCGAATAATTCAGTAGAGATTAATTTTCCGAATTATTTTGGTTTGCTATTAGCGACCTCTGAGTTTCCATAGTGATGATGGCTACGTACAATGTGTACTAGTCTAATTATCACAGTTTATTGAGTTTTCTTTAATCAGGTTTCCTTTTGTGTATTTCAATTCAAGTATTGAAAGTAAAAATCGATAAAGTCACATTCTTCTATGTAAACATATCAAACAGTCAAGAAACTGACTGGGATTTTTTCCCATTTATATTAGCAAATAGACGCGCAAATGTGTAGCCTTGTGCGTACATGTTTATCTGTACATATACTAAATTTCTATGTGGAAAAAGTGGACACATACCTGAAAGTATACAAGTACGTTAAAATATGTACAACTGTTAGATTGAACAAAAGTTTTAAAATATAAACAATTGGTGAAGTTATCGATAGATATACTAGTTGCAGTAAGAAAAGATATTATTTATGTAAAACGGGTTATTTTACAGGGAAGTAAGTTTTTTCATTAAAAACATGTCAAAAATCTAAATTTACTGATGTTTTGAAGAGAAATGGCAAAATTTTTGTATTAAATATAGGTAACAGATAAAACGAAAAAAAAAATGGGAGCAGACAGCCTTGATAGCAGACACAATAATAGTGGCTCAAAGTATAGAAAGATTGATATAAGTTGAGAGATGTTACTTAGAGTCTAATACTTCTATAAAACTCTTCTTTTTTGAACTGTTTTAAGTAACGTTTCATCAAGTATAAAGAGTATTAGGTGTTTTCCTGACTCGTTTATTTACTTATGTTCTCAAACTAGAAATCAATTTCGAATATTGAATTCAATTAAAGAATTTATAGTTCCTGAGTCTGTAAAGTAAACTATACATACAGTTATTAACTGAACAGAATGAGAGGTATCCAAAATTTGGCTTCAGGTTAGTAAGTATTGGATTTTAAACAATAACTTCCTAATCTTGTTTTTACCAAATGACTTTTTAATTTACGAAAGTTGTATTGAAAACTGTCAAAAATAAGAATATGCTGCTTAAATTATCCCCAAGTTTATTGATACGCTGTTGACTGATACTTTATAGTTATAGACAATCGCTACAATTACTTCATTTCAAGTCTCTTTAATAGCCCAATATTAAAGCTGTGTTGATCTAAAGTCGATCTTCAGATACTGAAAAAGTATTTATACCACTTAACTTCAGAGGAGCAAAACTAATCGTTCAATGTACACAAAATTTATGCATTCATATACGTCAGTTTATTTTATAATTTATAGCATTCTATTCGTCAACAATACTGAGTTAGTTTTAGGGGGACACTGTTTATTCATATGCTATACTTTAACGGTATGCTTAGTTATTTTCAACCTAATTTAAGATTTAATGAAAAAAATGTGGAAGGAAGGATGTATGATCAACCTAAACAAAATCAGTAACCTACTTTTAGTGCAACCTTTTCAAATCGTTCCCCATTCGCATCACGAACATGAAGCCAACCTTCCCACACTTTACCAAATGCTCCACACCCAATATAACGTAGAAAACGTATATTTGCTGCTGGTATCTGTGGGACTTGTTCAAAGTTGTTAAGATCAGGTTTACTAATGCCGTATAATGAATTAACTTCTTGATTCCATAATGGCTCAAGAGTAGCTAAATCAAGCGGTAAACCACTTGTCGTTAAATCACTACCTAGTCCCAGGATGGATGAACCATTCCCACTGCTTGAATGTAAACGTCTTGCTGGATTGAAACTAATAAAAAATGAGTGTTTGTTAGATTTTCCATCTCTGTGACGACCTGGAAACAAAACATAAAATAAACTAGCTTGTGTAAGCCTAATTTAATTGATATTTTGAGACTAAATTAGCACTACTATACAGAGTAGTCTATCATGATTATCGTTAGACAAGTTCCAATCAGAATTAACATTCTAGGCAGTATACTAATTAGAGATACTCAGTTTTAAAAAATAGAGCATCATGGCTCCAAATTTCAGCAAAGCTCTATTTAAGATATTGTATTGCATAATATTAAATTGTATTATTTTTAAACAATATGCATCATGATATCATCTCGGAAATTAAATCCAAAGATATTAATAGTGAAAAGAACCTTTGATTTCACTGACTGAACTTAACGAAATAACTAGAACAGATTGAACAATTTCTATTCCAGTTTTCATATTTTTATCAGTTTCCAAGGTGCTTTATTGTTTCATTTACATACTTTTGATAAAATATAAGTCCTAATGTGACTTTGCTTAATCGTTATCTTTGTATTATATTCTTTTTATTAAAAAAAGTTTTTCTTTCGAGTAACAAATGTTCATTATTTTTATCTATTTAATAAATTTGGAATGTAGAAACAGTTAAATAAAGGTGGTTAACTAATCGTATTAAACTAAAATGCTTATCTCTCTTCCTCATAATTCAAGATACTTCCTGTTTTTATTTAATGCCCATTTGTTATTCTGCTTGTCTGGGACCTGATAACACTAGAAATTGTCTGATTGAATGAAAAAAAATAGTCTAAGACAAAAGAATGTCATTCGGAATTTCTATTCAGTGTCCATATTTTATCTTCTTGAATTTGTATTTTACTTTTCTTAGGTATGAACTGTGTTATCTAAGTCACTGTGCCGGTATTATTTAGAGATATTTGTAAATACTTTTAATCAACCTAAACATTTGAAACAAAAAAAAGTGACTAAATTTACAAAATGCTTATTTACTATTTGCTTTTCAGTACTAACATTTGATTCAGTGATCTGAATGAAAGTGTTTGACTTAAAGAGTCTAATTTCAATTGATGTTGGATTAATAACCAAATTCTAACTAATGATGACTTGAGTCTGCACATCAGAGTCTCTTTTTCATTAAAGAAATATTGATCTATAATGTTAGCTGAGTTAAAAATCTACGGGAATAACTGACCTCTATATGCATGAGAATTACCTACAATTTTACACCATATCTTGGTTAATAAAACGAAAATTTCTAAATAGATTCTAATTGGTGTTTACAGTTAGATTAGTCTAAGCTTTTCTTAATTATTCTGATCAATCAATTATGCTGAAATCAATCATTAAAAGTATATCTACTTGTAAATCACAATTAATGGTTTATTAATTTGCTGAGAAATAAATCAAAGTTGTTTACTTGTAGGATGAGGTAAAAACGAGTTCAAACAGTAAGACAACTATCTTTACAGAGTTATCCATAAATTATGAATATTAAAAAGCTCATTAAACATATGAAGTTCAATTACTGATATCGTTTTATTGAAGTGACATTTCATGGGGAACCCTGAACTTTTTTCAAAGACTGATACAACGCATTGTTTTATTACTGATTTATACTTAAGCAAGATTTCTTTTGGTATTTCTTATATGTAATGTGATTTTAATTGTGAATATTTTTTACTTAGAAGAAAACATAAACGACAACTATTTGAATAGGGAACTATTGTAATTCCTTGGTTTATATGGCTGTGTACTTAGATTGTGGTCACTCACCACTTCAATGTCCTGATAGTAGTTTCACATTTAAGATCACATTGTTGTTTGTTAAAATATGGCAACCTGATATATTCGAAAATAAGAACAAACCTTGGTAGATAATTCATTGTAACGTGTACTTGTCAACGTATTCTTCCAAAATGCAATATGCTTAATTTCAAATGATTTAGTGCTGGTGTTTTTTACAGGTTATCTCTCTCCCCCCCCAAACAACAACGAAATTTATGCCGTTAATATATTCAACACTGCTCGTTGGATGTATAAGAAACAAATCAAGGGTCAATGATTGTATTAATTACAAAACTGATCTGTTCATAATAGAATGCATTAGAATTATCTGTAAGGTTCTTTAGTTAGTAAGAGCAAGATTTAACCGACTTGGTAAATACATTTTTTAGCATTATTTCGTATGCCTGTTTGACTAAGGCTGAAGGATTTTATGTTGATTTGAGTAATTTTCTAAACACAAACTCATAGTTTTTGTAAATTACTTTTAAGATCATTCCTTTGATATTTTCACTTCGAAATTTATGCTTTAATGTCTTTTAAATCATGAGCCATAGTTTAGACTATGATCACCATTCATGCTATTGAAAAAAATGACTGAAATATTACTTACTTTAAGACTGAATTCTCTGATCATCTGATGAATAATTTTAAAGTATAAGTCAAAAGTATTCCTATTACTTCTTCTTACTCAATAGTACATTTACCACTCGTTACTTATAAACTTACTGACTTCCAGTCAACATTTCAGTTACAGAGTACAATCTCGTAAGAAACGCATGACTCCATAGATGTAAGCCATAAGAGTCATATATGTATGAAGCTTGTTAGTATGTTTCTATTTTTTTCATTTCGATAAAACTTTTCTGATAAAATCATAACTAAATAATTTCTTTTTGCTATGTTACCAGTTAAGGTAAAATAGCCTATTGTATAGAATTTACTTTCCATTCGATAAATTAAATGAATGTAAGCATTTTACCAATCAAAGCTAATTTATTACTTACGTCGATAAATCAGTAATACAATCAGGAATAGGAATAAGAGTAGCAAAGCAACGGAGAGCAGACTGTAGGTCAATAAGCTGGTCACTTGATTCAGAGGTTGAAATAAGGATGAATAAACCTTAATTGTAAGAAAAAATAAAACGAAGACTATGAAATATACCTGAAGCATGAAAAGTACATTTGAAATAAGTTCGATAATTTTGACTAAACGAAAACAGTCCTTTCAAATATTGTATGTAAACTTATTTAATTATGGCATAGCACATATTAAGGAGGATGTTTTTATTTTGACTATTATTTACCGCCTGAATAATGAAAAAAACTATCTTAGGCTTTAAACCGATACATCCAGACATCAGTTATACAAATACTCAATTGACTTTATTGAAGAAAACAGTTTCCTTAATCAGTTAGTTTCCATATTCTGTAAGCTGATAGGTTCACCAGTGAAGCTTTTATTGTATTTCTCAGTGAAATAATCAATTGCGAACCTAGGAAGTTTACTTTGAACTGTTGTATTCGCTCTTTTGCTGGTCGAACAACTGGATCCATATTTCCTTATCATTTCTATGTTTAAAACTATTTATATGCTCCAGTTATTGAGAGGATATTTAGTGATATTTAACTGTAATTGATGTTTACACAAATAATGAAAAAAAGGTCAATCACACTGTGTACGTTTGTGTTTTACACATTTAATTAATTACGTTTAGAAAATTATATTTGATTCATGTTCCTTTGACAGTATATCCTTTAGTTGGATAGTAAAAACTGGACAGATCTTGTTCGTTTTTAAGCTGAACGTATTTCAGTGATCCCCGATAATTTGATTGTAATATTTGAGATATTTATTATATGGGATGATAAAATCCGTCCGTTACCTTCGATTATAGTTTTTGGGCTAAATGTTCTCGACAGTCCGCTTGATAGTTCTTTTTGAGTGCACACTCCTCACGAAGATAATCATTAGACTCGGTACTTTTCTGCAAAGCACATTTCTGTCGAATACTATATGTTTTCTAAATAGTAGTCTTAAATAAATTTTATGAGCCGTTTAATTATTGCTACTATAGCTGAAGATTTGGTTATTATGAGTACACTTGTTCTATACTAACCCTCGGATTTTCCTGCATTGGTCATCAGCAGTTTTCGTTCGATTTCTTCCTTAATTCAAACATTTTATCGCTAATAAGCGTTGTTAATAAAGTTATGAAAGTTTTCCAATTCTTTTTATTTAGAAGTGATAAATATACCTTGTTATTAGTAAATCGAAAACTTCTGTTAAACGACTAGACTGTAATTTATGGACGAACAGAACGGAAGCCAGTGAGCGATTTCATGGTCACGGCACTTATTTCAGTATATAATGCTCACTTACAACCGGTTTACAGGGGATTTCAAGTAGGACGTCATAGTTGAGTGGCTAAAACACACGGGATTACTGAGAAGTTCCTTTATTTGTTATTACGGTATTCTAATGACTGCTAGGCATTGTAAAGACTATCATTGAGACGTTGTATTTCTATGTAATATATGTTGGAGAAAAGCGTCTACTAGAACGAGGACTTTTTCCGCTTGATCCTGATTGACACTAATACAGATTAAAATAATTGTTGCAAGCCGGATAATAAAAGCACCAGTTACATTGGCTGAAACCTGAAGATTCGGCAGTTCAGTGGTATGGTTACTGTCGAGATACATGTGCAATGAAAATAACAAGCTTCCATCAGTCGTTTAAAGGAATCAGAAAAGTTTTAGAAATCGACGAAACGGTCCCTAGAAAACGCAAGTTCAATAGAGGAAGAAGTGTTATAGAAGACTGAGTAAGTAGGACTTCGTTAAACATAATTAGGAGGTCCGTCTTATATATGATAGATCATGTCAAAAAGACACTTCCAGTGCCTAAGAAACCGACGAGCTACAACTATGATACCAATTATACGAGAGTATATGCGACCGAGTACTAAGATATACCTGGATGACTAGAGAGCATATCGATGTTTATCTAGACTTGCTTATGGGTATCTTATCGTCGCTTTGTAGATCGCACCACGGGAGTACACATCTATAATATAAAAGCAATGCGACATAAAGCAATTCATCAGAAATTATTAGGGAACCATCAACAGTTAAACCTTTAACACCAAAGTGGGCAGAAATAGAAAGTATTCGTCCTACAATTTTTTATAAGAGTTAAGGCTAATGAACATAATGATCAAGCAAAGTGTCGATTTAATTCATATCTGTTTTACATTTTTCTATATCTTCTGTAAAGAAGAACACCGTTTCAGAAAATACTTGTCCACATTACAGTTGTGTGATATATTTCTAATATTTTACGAAATAATTATAACGCCATTTGTAGTAAATATATCTTAAAATTAGTAGTCACATATTAGGATGATATATCTCGCTGTCTGAAATTCCTGCTATTGTTTAGATTAATGAGTCCAATTTCATTTTGTAAAATTTTAGGCGAATTGGAAATAACATAAGTGGTTTTGACAAACTGACATTCCTTGAGTTAGACGTTAACTTCGTCAAAGTTTTGTTAACATACTAGACAATAATATGGGAAGCTAAGAAAGCACAATAATTGTGACAACCTCTCATGATCACTTTAAATGCTATTGATCACATTCACACTGTTTGAACGTCGATTCGAATTGAATTTTACAGGATCTTTAATACATTTCATCCTTTTTAATTATAGGTAATCTGTACTAACATTTAGATGCAATCAGTAACTTACTTTATCGCTGTTTGCATTGTTCCGTTTAAGAGATATGTCATTAGTGAGTACTCTTCAATAATTCAAAAATATAACAAAATATATATTTAGTGCTAATATATTTTATGGCTGTCAGTTTGTATTTAAAACTATTTTCAGGTAGTTGCCTATGTTTGTGAACTTCAGTAGTAAGCCGTGCGGTCATATATTTAGTGAAACGAGAACTTTACTAGTTGATGAAAGATTTTAGGAATCTTTTCATGACATTTTTTTCGAGTACGCAAAATGTAGGATGCAGATACCACCCTTTACTTGCAAACTTACGGATAATACTACTAAAAGTACAAATAAGTAGTTCAAAATATAAGTCAAATTTATATTAGTAGACACCTAAACCTTGAAGTATTTCGGAGAAAGTATTCGATTGGGAGGGGGCATGACATTTTAAAGCCCTTACACTTAATAGATATAAATTTTCATCGGAAATAGTTTATTCAAAAACATACTTGAGGTCATGGGATCTTTGATCTGTTTTACGCATTAGCAAGCAACAGCTGTTTTGTTATTCTTCAAAGAAAGTAGGTAATACAAGCGGTACCTGTTGTATTGTTCTTTTAGCTTGTTCGTTAACTGATTTCCATTATATAAGGCTTTTTTATCCTGGGATTTTCTGACCCCTTCTACTTATCTGTCTTTGATAATCATGAATGTTTTCTTCCAAAAAACTACACACCGACTTTAATTTTTTTAATATAGTTAATCGGTAAGTTATTCTGTGCTTTAAATACATATGGGTACACATGTATTTCTGAGTGCATCAAATGTATATATATATATATGATATTGTCAAGAGAAACAAAACTTTGATTCGGTGGTAGATGAATTTTTATAGACATACATAGTATGTCTTCTCGTCTACAACGTGTACGCTGTTAACTATGAAGTCTGGTTGTTTTTGTGACTCGCATAACATACTTAAGACTATAGAAATAGTAGAAAAGTGAATAAAAGAATATTTTCTGGTATCCGAATTTTTCTTATGGTAGACTTATGAGTCGCCTCAATCGTACTTACATGAAAAGAGATTATTTTGAAATCGTAAGACAATAAGCAATTTAACGAATGCATAGAATATATTGAGTCAGAATCAGTGTATGAGAAAACAATCGTTAGTCAGATATACAAACAGCACAAGCTTTTCTACTATTAAAGCATTAGAAACTAGCCTATCCATCGCTCATTTAATAGTTTCACAGTTGTGATTTTGATAAATATTTCTCGTTGCATATTAGTAATCGAAACAATATCTCTAAGGCCAGTAAATGATATGGGGTTAATTTCTGTTAGGTATCTACTGAAAATCTTGTAATATACAATTTCATTTGTGTTTTGATCACCCGTTCCTAATGTTTATATAGAGAACATTTCCGCCTTAAGTGGAATTTAAATCATTTGACCCTTACATTTGATCTATTTATGGTTTAAAAATACACATTGTCTTCTGTTTAGATTCACTACTAAATTATTTTTTCTAGTCGTTTAGTCATCTAAACAGAGAACAATATTAGATGAACATCATTTCTTGTCTGAAAAGACTTCGGATTTTAAATGAATTGCTATAATTGAATTCAATGCACTTTGAAAATTGAAGCTAAAATGTTGACATTCAAAAAATTTAGCTAAACAAAATATAGACTTATCTGGAACTTTCTGAAATGGTGGTCTTATGATCAAGTAAGCTGGATCACTCATTCCAATCTTATTGACAGCTCTCAACTGAAATGCACTTTGGTGATTCGTATCCAATGTGATATTAGCTTGTTTATCTGTTAAATTATGTGGTGTAATTGAATCCCATTTTGGTTGTTCTGAATTACTTGAGACAATCGGCCTACAAATAAAAATAATATATTAAATTAAAAGAAAAAAACATACACAACATAGTTAAATTAATGATGACCATGGTTCGCTTATGAAGCATATGATAAACAGTATTTACATGAATAATTTGAAGTTAAAGGAAAAGTATTATCTAAAATCACTTATTCACTTAAAAGAATTCAGATTGGTATTAACCAAAGAGAGGGTTTTATCCGGCTTAATTTTATTTCTTCTAGTGTGATATATAACGTAAGCAGTTGTAAACACTAAGTAAATTCAAAGAAAAGACTTTTACATCATTTATTCCCATATGATTAATGTAAACATCACATCAAGTTCAACAGGACAATAGACTCATTATATCACGGCTTGATATCATTCATCAGGTAACCTCAAGTGAAAGTATTCATAGTCAAAAGATATTACAATCGATATTTATAAAACAATTTAAGTGGTGATGTTAGAATCAATAAAAGGTTAAGACAAACATTAATGTTTGGAAACAATTAGTTAAACAACTGTCAAAGGGTCTAGCGATTTAAACTTTCACCTAAAATTTTGTTTTTATACATTCTGTTGTCCAGACAGAATTGGACTAATGAATCAGAACTGGATTTTCTCAGATTATTGAAGGAATGAATTTAGTCAAAGGTAATCAATGTTGTGAATATGACTTCATATCTTTAGTATACTGCAAATGATTAAAGGTGCATTTTAACAATATTTAAAATAGAAATGTAAATTTGAGTGGATTCAAATTAATTTTCCGTCTATCTATTGATAGTAACTGCTTATGAAACCTTTCAAATTTATAGAAGAGTAAAATAGAACCAAATTCTATGGACAAACTCAAAATGATCAAAATGTTCGAATCTATATCAGTCATATATATATCCTGAATTTAGTAGTGCTGAACATATAAATTGGGTTGCATTAATTTGTTTTACAATAAAAATTAAATTCTGCTTTTGAATTGCATTTAAGAATATTAAACATATATTTCTGTTCCTAAGTAGAACTAGTGACAGACCATACATATTTATAAATATGTAAATAGAACTGGGGTTGGGGAACAAAAGTATCACCTACATGTTCTTTAGAAATAGATATTTACCATAAGATTTAGTAATTTAGAGAAGATTTTGAAAACGGGTGTATTATTTTCAGTTATATTCATCCACGTGACATATAATTCAATTTATAAACATATTTCCTTATACATGAGTTTAGTTCATGGTTGATAGGAAACTAAAATATTAAAATAACGTAGTACTGAAGAAGATAGAAGAAACGAAGCGAAACCTAGAATCATAAGGAAATAATTAATCGAAAAAATAACTTCTTAACTATCCGACCTGTCGTAATGGTATGCATATCGGTTTGTTTTATGCAGATTTTTACATAGTTTGAAGGTAATTCTCGTCAGGAATTGCCAATAATTAAAGAACCATTAAGATTAGATATATAGATCACTATACAGTTAATTCGTTGTCTCATACCCTTTATAATGCCTTAATCTTTGTGGTTTGAAATTCTAAGAACTTTCCGAAAGGAGCAGAATAGTTATTTGGTGCTCTTTGGTTGCCATTAGCTTTTCAGCTGAATAATATCACAAGTTTATGATAGACTTCTTATTATACAAATTTCTAGCTAACGACTGGAATATTAAACCTCTATTAACTTCGGAACTTGGGATTAGAATAATAGTTATTAGTATTTGTTGTTCCGCCACTCAGTCAATAGTATAACTGATACATACTCTTCTGGAAATAGAAAATCAGTGAATATGGTATTTAGTGTCTGTGAACATTACATTTATTTTGCAACACTACTTTTGCATTTCGGCGATGATTCTAAGTAGTCTAACAAAGCTTTCTTGTATGAGTAAACATGGTCGTTAGAATGAAGAACCTAAAGGACGATAGCAGAAATAGTGTAAAACCAATAACGTAAAAAAACAACATAAATTTTAAGCTGTATATCGATAATTTTCTGTTCCGTAACGCATTTCGGGCAACTGTTCGAAAGATGATTCGAAATATCTATGAAATTCAATGATGATAAGAATTAACAAAAATGAATAAACAGAAATTTAACAGTTGAAAACCATTTTGAAAGTCTGTTTAACCGGTGCAAGATAATAATTGACATCAACCTTAAGGTTAACAGTCGCTTTATTCAGTGTATCCTATCCTTAGGTTTACATTTAAGTGACTATATATTGTGCTTTATATATTTCTGAGGAGTTTTGGGAGATAGACAAAAGTATAATGTTTTAGTGATAACAAGACTACCACCAAATACTACATAATTAAAAAAATCAGAGTTCGACTATTTACCAGTTGACAATACAATATAAAATGTATACTCTTTGCGTAGGAAATATAGTCTATCTACAAATCTGGATATATTGTTCAGAAATACAAAATAACTCGAGGATGAAGAGTGCTGGTGGGCGGCCTATGCTCCTCCAGAAGGGGTAACAGGTGTGAGTAACGAAGTAGAATATTATAATATATGCAGTATTAATAATAACGCCTAAGTTAGTAGCTTTTTACTAGTTGGATGAATTGAAAAAGAAATTTCCCTACAAGTCAGTGGTAGCAACGATAAATATACTGGGAAGCAATTTGTAATCTTATCTAGGATTTCCTAACCATGAGCCACTTACTATGAATTCAGTTTCGTTTGAAAATTTATCAAAAGACTTTAACGTGGTTTACAGATGTCTCTAAAACTTTAGATTTTAATTTTAAAAAGAGGGTATCACATGATTTTTTTCACTTCTGACGACAGCAGTCCATTAGTTATGTCAATGAATCAGTTGTATTTATTCATTAACAATTTAATAACAGTGTTTTTCAACTCACCATATGTTCGCGATTTCATTTTACATAAGTGAAGACACCTGTTGTATTTTTGCTTATGCCTATAGTTTTTACGTTTGTTAGCAGCTTATATTGTATATATTTATAATAAAAGGCAATCATAATTACCTGATGATCCTTGATTCAGATTTTCAGGGAAGAAAAATGTAGTTTAAATATGTTGTATAGTGTTAACAAAATCTATAAGTACGTAAAGATACTTTTCATATTCAAAAATACATACTACTTATAACTGATTTGCTTCAAGTTAATAAAGTCGTTATTATTCGTTAAAACAATAAAGCACTCGATTATTGAAAACTAGACGAATTGCAATTGTTTATACACAATTAATAGTAGACAGATTAAAGGTAATTGTCTATAATTGTGATGAACAACTACATACTTTTGTGATAATAAATTGAAAGGATATCAAGTGATAGAATAATATCATAATGTTGGTTAATTCACTACGTAAGGCCATGGATTCTTATTTTATAAATTGAAGACATACATATATTCAATCAAGATCATAAGTTGTATATATAATATGGTAGGATGAGTCATGAGTATCTACTTAATGTTCCTTAAAAAGAGAAAGAAAATTCTCCTCTCTCAACAGTTGTACAAAATGTGATGTCCTTGACACAGCGTACTTATTCTTGAAGATTGATTCTATAGATGTTTTTTCCCCATTGGAGTCACCTTTCTTTTCCAAATTTATCTTGTTTTAGAATAATGAATTTCAAATATGGTGATCTAATAATTTTCATATTTAGTCATGCCTAGTTTAAAAAACAACTAAACTGTTTATTTTTCAAGTGATAATAACAGTGTTTCGAAAGGTTGGTTCCAACCATAATGAAACATAATCAAATATATAAAAACAATTATTCAGTGTGTCGAGCATTGCTTTCATGGTATTTAATTCATTTATAATTATATAAAACATTATGGTAAGTAACTTAAAGATTGTTATGATGTAAAGCTATTTAGCAATCAATTAGTGATTATGATGAGATTGTATTAGTTTGAACGAACTTGGTTGACATATGAATAGGGATTAAAAATCTTTTTTCATTCCCTTATATTAAGATACGATGGTTAATCGTAAAGTAAATTCTTTTGACATTTCTTTTATAAAGCCTCTCATTATCTATTTGTTTAAGAAGTCTTTCCGAGACAGAAAACTTTTCAATTCTAAAAATTTTCAATATCAGTTGTGTGCATACAAAAATGTTCAGCTCATCTGTCACTTAATAATAAACGCTTATTATTTTATCAGAGTAAAATAAAAACATTTTCAGATTAATGACTAAAGGAAATAGAATAATTTGAGTGTTTAGGGTGGATATTTCTAATAAACTCCAAACAAATTTATATTTGATTCATAGTCATAGTCTGAATGGGAAGTGTACCCAACCATATAGTCGTATTACTAGAATACTCGTTTGTCTCCCACATGAAATATCTGTAGATTTCTTAATATTTTTCATAATAAAATTTAGATTTTCTTAGTCTCGTTGCTACTCTAGTGAGAAATAAAAAACGGTTTTCAAAGCTAGCTGACTCCGAATTACGTATTATCTAAGTATATATAAATTTCAGCCATACCGTCTTGTCAAATATATATTTGAAAATAATATATCGTCAAACAATTCGTATATCTGATTCCGTCGAAATGCAGGTCTCGATTTAATTTTTTAAAAATTTATTCTCAGATTTGTGACGTTCGACAACACAATATCAAGAAGTCAAATATGAAATGTTTTAGGAGATTATATTTCATCCAAAAGTATTTCCTAACCGTACCGTAAGATTGAGTCGTACGTATTTAAGTTGATCAGATCAACCAATCGTGTTTATTGTTGATTGTATTCATATACAGATTAAATAAACGAAGATTAATATAAATAAAAGAGTATATATATATATATATATATATATATATATATATATATATATATATATATATATATATATAGAAAATGTCCATGGATGAAAGGTCACAAATAACCATTTGCCAATATGTATATATAATCAATAAGATCTCGGTGAAGCATGCAATGTTCACATAAGTATTCCTATTTGCATTAGTTTTTAAAAGAGCTTCTATCAATCTGTCCTGTTAATTCATTATTGGATTATAAAATTTAATTGTGTCTATTGGGTTAAATTACAAGATACCTGACAGAAAATATTAATTAAACACTTTGCTGTGATCACCACCTTCTATCCCTTCATTTATTTGTTTCGAAATTAACAGTTAGTAGAAATTAGATATTTAGGGAATAAATTACGCCACGTTTGTAAAGTAAAACTTCTCCATTGAAACTATATACAAATTAGACAATGAAAAATTTCATTTTTATTAACTTTTCATCATGGTTTATTGCTAATAAATATGTTTCATAGATACTCACAAGAACCAAAATCAATTGAGTGTACAGTAAGTAAGTTACACAATATTTCTAAGTTTAAAGTTATCTATAATAATAAAAAATCAATAATGGGATTGCTATGAACGGGGTAATTAAAATCTTTAAAGACTTTAGAATAGGCCGCTGCAACATTTAGAGAGAATAACAAAAGTATTATCTCAATTCAATGCTGTAAATTCGGTAACAGTTAGGAAATCACGGCAACGATTGTTCAAGGTTCTAAGAGATTTCTATATTCAACATTGTAATTATGTGAAAAAATATTTTAGAAGCCTTTGTAACGGTCAGTATGTCCGACTTATTTCAAATAATGAAAAGTTTTTTTTAATTGGTCAGCTGATATAAATACTTTGTTCAACTATCATTTATAAGAGGAATTAACTTCTATATACTTGAACAGATGATTAGGAAAATAAGCCGAAAACTCTTATATTTCATTATGAGTTTTTCAATGTATAGGATTGTAATAATTTATCTCTTTTGTAAGTATAAACAATTGGCATTCACAGTTATTCAGTTCAAATAAACATAAAACAAGTAAGTTTATGACAATAATCTCACAATTGGAAAATAGATGACTCGTACATTTGAGCAGACTGGTATTATAATTTTATCGATTAATAGTTACATACATGTTCTGATCATTAAAAGCGTATTTAATAATGAACAAATTAGCTCTATGTAATTCAGAAATTTCTATGATTTATTATTTAAAGTTTTTTGTGGAACAATAAATCTGTTCGGTTTCGTCCATGCCTTTAAGCTTCATTTTATGAAAAAGGATTACTGCAGGAAATTCTATCAGCATTAATACTTACATTTAAAAAAACATGCTAAAAACATCACTGTACATTAGCTACGAGCTATTTGTCCAACCAATCCTTTTATTGAGCAACATGTCTGAATATATGCTAATTAATGTGTACAAACAAAGAAACAAACTGAAAAACAGTGCTCGATATCTCTCCTAACTATTTATCCTAATCAGCCACACTTGCAATTGTACGCACACACATACACACACAAGGGAACGAAGGAAAAGACATTATCATTGGTAGTTTTTTTAAAATCTAAATTGACGGTAAACTGTGTAAAAAGACTTATGCATGTTTCCTAGATATCGGTCAGATGGTTGCCTTAATCTTATTTTCCCAGATGTTTCTGTAAATTATAAACATTATCCATTTTCTAGTGATTACTGGTGTTTGCTTGTTTGTTCTTACCCGTCGACTATGTGGAAAATGCAGGCAATTATTATCTTTTTTTGTAATGATGAAAGAATTACATGTATTGGTAAAATGTAATGAAATTGATGAAACCAGTAGTAATCTGTAATTACTGGGGGATATTCATACAGTGAGAAAGAGGCTAATAATTAATTTTGATATGAAATATCATCAACATTAGAATGAATAGTTAATAAAATAAATAACAATGACGTACATAGACTTCATATTGTATGTAATAATCGGTTCTCCATTATCATCATTCGGTGTCCATTCGAGAGTGTATTGATTACCTTGCATATAGTGATATCGTAGATCCAATGGGGCATCAGGAACATCAGCTGAAAAATTTATTAAAAATTACACTAGTAATATATGTCATCTATAAAAAAATCTTTATTCAACAGGAATTTCACTGGAGGTTTGCACTTTCTTCCACGTAATATGAATCATTGGACAGAAACAGTTTTAACTACAACTTTTCTAATATTATAAGGATAAGCATGATATTATGAGACGAACCAAGAGACGTTTTTACACTTTATTTTTAAAAAATGAATATTACATTGTTGTTCCTAACAATATCACTAATTTGCAGTAAAGCATCAGTAATCCACTGAGTAATAAAATTGTAAAACCTCTGATCCTCTTAGTTTCTCATTGCAAATAACATGTAAATCTATTTTTATCAGAAATTTAAGCATATAAAACCTAATTTATCAGTGTCTGTTTCTTTTCAATGTTGGTATTAAAAACTGATCGGTGAATCACCTTTCCTATACGTGCATCCTGATTAGATTCCTTAACTATCGTCATTCAGTACGACTCCTTATTAAAATTGAATAGTAGCTAACAGAAGAACTCAGTTCACGTGTTTCGTTTCTATTTTAGGCTCACCAGCTGAGTTGATACCTGGATCTTAGTGTTGATGATCAGATCAAGAGTAGAACGCAGTATTTTTAGCTTCAAATGCAAACGCGTTAACCATTTGGCTACTGAGACCAAATAGCCATTGAACTATCTTTTATTAGTATGGGGATTTTCAGTTACAAAGTCAATGTTGTTTGTTTTGAGAAATTACAGTCGACTTATCAGATGTATTTCAATTTTCAGTAATCTTGTTTATTAGAAATATCTTAGATAACTACGTAGTTTTCTTTACAGCTGAAGAAAGTGAAATTATCATTTTCATTATATCAAGTTCTACAACAAACTAAAATGGCTGTCCGACTTGAATTTGTGTGTAATTTCAATAACATTCAACAATCTCCACGAACCCCCATACTAATAACTATCATGGGCTAGCTAGTGTTTTAGTGAATAGTCATTACCAATAGAGTTAAACAATACTTTGAGTTAGTCTAATTTAAAGATGTAAAACAGTGCATACTACCTCGGTGGTCTAAAGTTAAGAACTCGCCGCGAAACCTGAAGGTCCTTAGTGCTGTCCATGATAAGGTTGACGATGAGCACTCATTAGGAATTCTGTACAAAGACTAAGCAACTGCTCAGTGATCACTGGTCTTTAATGGTTATCTAGTTAATGTCGGTTTATAATCTCAGTGAAATGGAACAGATACGCAAATAAAAAAACGAACTTCTTTTACCCTATAGAATAAAATAATCATAATATAATGGGGTTACATATTCGCCTTCTGGTAACAAGGGACGTTTTCACCGTAGAAGTGTAATTATCACGGGTTTTCTGCTGAAGTACTTCACTCATCTTGCAATTTTAAGCACTGAAAAGCAAAAATTAAACTTAAAATCTATTCAAAAACCTCATGATATGTCTTTGTTATAAAATTTTAATGATTAATAGCTTTTTATCTCAGAAGAATTCAACAGAAAACGCTGATAAGAAAGACATGGCTACGTTTTATTATAAGATTAATTAGTACTTACGGTACGTTTTACAAGCGCATATATCTTTTGATCCAATCTTTGGGAATCGATCAAATGTACTGTTTTCATATATCAAATTTAATCCAAATTCGTATAACCGGTTAGGTTTGAGTGAAGTAATCGTATGATTGCGATATTTAACTCCTGAATGTCCCCATCCATAATCGGACATAGTTGTAAATTTTGGTTGGTGAAACTGACGTCAAAATAAACCGATGTAATATGAGATGGGAATAGGGGAACAAGATATAAAACAAGGGTTACTGCTTGGTGAGCAGAAAATATTATATGGATAAAAACGATATCATAACTTCGTTTCATCATCAAATTCGAATTTTCCAATACAAATAACAACTACAATGTCTAAAATCTTTATAACCCATGTGATTTTCTGTTATGAATACTTTAGAAGCTAAGAAATGAAAATAACCGAAAAATCAAAGTATTATCAAAACTACCTACAAAATAATAATTAACTGTTTAAACAACGACTAACATGGAAACTTCGAAAAGTTGGTTGACTTAAGGTAATTGAATCATAAACAAATTTTCTTTGTTGTTTGAAACCTCAATCACTGTTGAGACGAAAATAAAAATTATGAATCATAACCACTCAGTGATTATATCATCAGGGCGTACAAAAGCGTAAGATATTTCCAAAAACTTCGTGTGACCTTAAGAGACATTGAAGCCATACGTTGTCTTCCTTTTTCTCTAGCTGTTCAAATGATAATCATTCATAATAAATTAATCTAGACATTTTCTAAAAAGATTACATAATTCACTACGGAATATTGGTTCAATGACTTAAAGAGCATGGCCGAATTTTTTATAAAAGCTTAAGAGACATACAGAATATTGAAAATGACATTTTCACAGAAACTAGAATGAACAGAATACTGAGTTTTATTTATCTTTATACATTTGCTTTTAGATGATCTATTGTGGACTATATTTATAAGGTTTTCCTGCTAGAATTACTTTCATTCGAAGGTTGATCATAATCTAATCCTCACTGAAACACAACGAAACGTTACTGTATATAGCTGTCAAAGATTAAGCATGAGCAGTGAATCATTGTTTTTATAATCTGAAAAAAATCATTCGTTATTCTCTTGCGATAGGGCACTCATCAGTCAATAAAAAACACCTTGACACAATTCACATTCATAAAGAATATGTACGTGGGACAAGGAAACTTACATAAACAAAGATAAAATGATGACTTGTGTTATAGAGTTATTGGAAAAACTTTCTAATTTGCTCAAAGCCTACTTGATACTTGAAAAAAACCCAGCCTTTTAGATAACAAACCGAGAAATACGATAAGTTCAGATCACGGTTCATAATCTCCAAGTTTCCGAACTATTTCGCACAATTACAATCCTGTCTTATTAATATCATTCAAATAAAGTGATATCAAGAAATTGTGAAAGTAGTTTTAAGTTATTAGATTAGCTGATTATTTTGCTAAGATGAAGCAATAAACACTATTCGGTTCTTGACCAAATACTGTCTATTTTATCAACAAACCATTATGAGTTAATGGGAACAAAATTAAAAAGACAGGTTTTGATCTGAAAAAGATGATATAATTAAGCTGTAAATTCGGACAATTTGGTCACCAGTTTGTATGAAAACTAAAGGTCAATTTAATAAAAGTTCAAATAAACTTTAATTAGTAGTTGTAAATACAGGTGAAAGGTTAATATAATATGGGAAGAATAAGGGATTGTCAAACCACTTGGCTGTAGAATGTACTCAAGATCAGTAACACAACATTTATGGTTACGATAGTTGATTCTGTTCACACAAGAGGGTCTAAAATTGAGAACAGTCATGGTTTCTATAAACTTAAGAATTTATCTTTGATAAATTCCATACGATGTCTTATAAGCTGTGCCGATGTCAATTATATGGCTCGTTTCAATTATTTTTCGTTATTGTGGTTTCTGCCTCCTAGATTTATTGAGCTTTCGACATCAACTGATTTTTAGTCCATCTAGTCATATTTTCCATAACTCTAGGTTGCATTGACCGATTACTCCTGTGTATGCATGTGTTCACTCAAACAAGCGAATCGGTTAATACAGTGAGACGTGACGTAATTATCTGCGCTATGTTTAGAACGGGGTAGAATCACGGGTTTAGTTTCTTTAGTAACAGTCAGTTTGTTAGCATTACACGCTTTCGCGATGACCGCTTTTAGTGGTGTGTTAATCAACCGCATTATCAGTCGTTTATTGGCTGATAATATATTTACAAATCGTCTATTAAAATGAACCTCAACACGATTATCAGAAGTCGCTATTTTTCTAAGAGCCAACAACCATAACATTCAAGTAATTACAATGTGATAGCCTAGACCAATGTACAATTTTATATCATACTTTTTTTTAATAAAAAGTAAACATAAATGATTACATTTATGTTTGTACTTATTTCACCCAAACTCCTTGCCTAAAGAGTTTTTCTGTAACTGATTAACTCAGTTCAACCCAAAACCACTTTTCAAATAATACAATTCTTCAAGAAGCAATCTCCTTATAGAAATAAACTAGATAAATTCACTACGTTTTAAGTTATGTGGACAAAAGTGGTAATGGTTTGACTGTTCTATTTTAATACGACAATTCACGAAGTTATCACTGCTTTATACAAAAATTAATGTTTTTTCTAAAAGTTATTTCCATCGAATCAGTAATTAGTCTAATGTGCTCGAGTATAAAATGTATTTTGAATAATTTTATTGTAGTAAATTATACTTGAAGTTCATGCAAGAAATCTTTAATCCCATTCGCACAAGCTATTGGGTAGTAGGACTCAGTAACTAAGTGGATAACATAATAGCGTATGAAGTGAAAGGCACTGGGTTCGTGTTCCGTAATGAATATCAACTCTGGGATGCAGGTATATCCAGCTGACTAATCCTAAATCGGACGAAACGCGCGTCCTGTATTTCACTGCTAGCCACCATCCGTCTCTGCTTATAATGTTTGTGACATAAGGCAATATTCAGGCGATCCGCACAAGATGTACATATATCAATAAGAAACTGAGGACCTAAAAATCAATGGGAAGGTTTAAACAAACAATACAAAATTAATTTACACTTTGATCTTATCGTCAACTAGTTAAATTAGTAAAGAAATCGAAGAGCTGACCGTAATTAGTTAGTTCATGCTTTTATTTTATAATATCATCGATGACCTGACCTTTTGCTATAGCCAATGTATATTGAATTATTAATACAGTAGGTTAAATTTAAAAACACACTAGTTGAATTTTAGAAACATAAACTAGCAATCATAGATAAAGCCACCAGCTTAGTATGAAAATGTTGATTGTACGAAACAAGAAATGGATGTCAATACGTTTTCGAGGCATAACGTAGGAACTGGTGAACAAACTAAAAATGTAGACAAATGATCTTCACATACATTCACTTTTTTTGTTTTCTTTAAAATCTTTGTCTATCTACCCATTCAGATATTTTAAATTGATACTTTTAATCGTATCTAGTCATCGCAGATGTTTTACCTTTTTCGACTGGCTTGCTGAATTTACTAGCTTGTTAAGTGTACACACACATCGTTGTGTTTGGATGACAGCGTTTTTAGCGAGATCACATGGAAGTACATACAAACAACATGTTTTAGCAACATGAAGTATTAAAGTGTAAAGTCACGGGAAGTCTGAATGCTTAGTAGAATTCATGCTAAACTGGTTTTCACATGTACAGATTTAGACAAATAACGACATTTGTCATATATTTAACTTTTACTGATAGTATTCATGCTAAAATTCAATTAAAGAATGTTATGAGTATATATATTATTATATGTATATAAATTATCAGCGTCTTGAAAAAATGAAAAAAAATGGACACATGTACTATAATTTGACTAAAGTATGTGTTGTCACAACAAGAAAAACGTATTCCTGAAGATAGAATATCGGTGAAATGAAGTTGAAACAGTAAGTTTTACGAGTAGTTACTGTAGTATCTAAATCCGATATCTAATCTCTAATCATTTATGTTACCATATAAAAATTATTTCAAAGTCAGCTGTTATTATAGTTAAGAATAGGTTTCATCGTGGAAAATTAAATCAGTGAAAATGAGGAAGTAATAGATGGTCATACGCATCTTAGTTTTGGATGAATGGGTGAGATTTCCTAACTGCTGCTAAAACACTTACATTCAATGTTATTTGCTCTTTGATTTGTGTCTTGTTAAATAAAACATTTTTAACGAAACCATGACTTTTACTACAGGCCATTTACTTGTTGTATTTCAAAGGATTCATGAAGACCCGAATGGGAATTTACATTTTGGAATACAAGAACTAATGTTAATAGTCTGAATAGAATTAGTTTGATGTACTGTAGTCTATTTACATGGTTCTAGACTTTTGGTAGTAATGAAAGTTAGGCATCAATTTTGTTTAATACATCCTCTGTAACTTTAAAAGATTTCATTTTGAAAATTTGAACAGGCATAATTTCTTTGGTCAGAAATTCCACTCTAAAATAATGCGGTGCTACTGCAGTCTATTTGGAATGGCAGTACAAAAGCCGATCCACTGGGTTCTGTGGTTCTTTGTTTATCGTTTCATACATTTGAACTATCAAAATTGACGACTGTTAACATTAGAATAGTGGATCAATTCAGACATAGATATCTTCGAAATAGGACTCGTGTTTGGATAGGTGATAGAGTTTATCCTTTGACCTAATACCGAATTAGTTTTATCGTTATATGATAATTGTACAAAATGACTACATTGTTTAAACTTGAGCTCAGATCTTTTCTTGAATAGCGAGTTGGTTTATTGTAGTATATATACTTATAACCAATTACATGTGTTGATTTTACAATGACCTCTGACTCACCACGCGACTGTGAAAAGTACTTTTCGAAAGGTTATGGGTAGTATGAAGTTAATAAATGACCAGCATCCAGAATAAACGCATAATTGTGGGCACAAGATAAGAAGTAAGAGCAAACATTGTATTTTAGATTGAACACGTCTTTCATACTCTCTCATTCAACACCCATTATTAGTATCATATCGTTTAACTGAACGAATTTCCCATCTTGTTTGTTCGTTGCTCCACTAATGTTATATATTCGAGGTGATCTGAAAAGTGGGCTCTTAAAAATGCGATACTTTGGTATTACTATGATTATTT